AGCTTCAAGAAATAATAATAATTTTAGGATAAACCAATGTAATTATCAAAGCACAGTTGTTAGCAGGGCCGGAACAAGGGGGGGGCAGAGGGGGCGGTTGCCCCGGGCGGCAGGGTTGAGGGGCGGCAAATTTCTGGTTGCAGAAAATTTGTTTAATACAGTTTGTAAAAGTTTTTAATGAGCCGAACGTCATAAGGAACGTCAATTAAGTAATTTCAAAACTGCATAAAGTAATACACAAACAATAATTTTACAATAGAAATCAATATAATATGCAACGGAGTAGAAAACACTGAGAGCCCTAATAGCATAGTTAGCAGCACAGCAAAGTTTGTTTACAATTTCAGCTGATCGCCATCCCATTCAAGGCGCCATGCCGCCCTGCCTCACTGCCGTGGTTCGTTATAGAGGTTAGGTTTGCAGGATTTTCGCTAAGTCGAGGTTCAGAACCAGCGTCGATCAATATAGGTCGGGACTTGACCTCATTAAAATACAGTACAATTAAAGTAGCATGGGCTACAATAAGTGTTTACATTGTACAGTAGAACCTAAATCCGGCATAATAAAGGGGAGGGATCTTGAATATTGCGCAATCATGACAATGGCATTGACCTTGGTACAGGTTAAAAACTATAAGTTTAAAATCACAGCTTGTTCTAACCCTCCTAAAACCTAGCCAAACACTGTATTGCGTAGTCATAAATTATGTAAAGAACAAAACAAAACAGTAGAAAGTTTTGTAAGCTACTGCTCGCGATAGGCCGGTAGGCTACTTACAGTACAGTACTGATTTATCACAACAGAGGAATGTCAATAATAATCATTAACTATAGCATTGGTGTTGCTAATGCTAGTTGAAACAAATCGTATTGAAAACAATAAATTATTAGATAAGTCATTATAAAAGTGTATAATCATAGCCAACTTAAGGACCCAAACAGCACACTTTATCCCAGGGACATCCCATAGTAGTCCCATATGTCCTGAGAATGTCTCGGGATATGTGCGCTATCCTCAGGATATCCCGCAAAATCCCGGGACGAGTACGAAATCCACAGGATATCCTACAATATACCGTAATGTCCCGGGATTTGTAAGTTAACCACAGGATATCCTGTAAAGTCCCGGGATATGTACGAATGCCATAGGATATCCCAGAATGTCCCATGACATCCCGGGACATGTACAAAATCCACTGGATATCCTGTAATGTCCCGTAATGTCCCGGTAACAAACTGAAGAAAAAAAATACTACCACTGATGAAATGTACAGTATATCTAAATTTAAATGTTCAACAAGGCCAATATATAATAATTTGTTTTTTTCACTAGTGCTTTCAGAAACTTGGTTTCCATCTTCAGGCTGTGTTTACACTAGTACAAAAAGTAAATATTTACTTAATAAATTAATTTTAAACAAAGTTAAAACAGATTATTTAAAGGATATTGGAAAAATAAAAAATAATATTAGAAAAATTAATCTTTTGAATTTTGGATATGTTACAGTGTTGTTCTTGATGTAATTATTTTCAGTAATTCCGAATTTATAATTGGGCCGTCTTCATTATTTAACAAATAATTTTGGTCTGTTTTTTTCTAAAAATAAGATCCCCACGCATTAAGATGTTGAGGTTTTATAATTTATTTTAAAAGTTTAAGGTTTCCCAGATTGAAAATATGTCTTGTTAATACTATGGCTAGCAAGGGTTGACTTTACTTTACTGACATATTACTACCACTGAGTTCAGGAAAACTAGAGTTCTATCATAGTTGTGTGGAATGTGAATTTAATTCTAACTTTAAATTAATAAAACAACAAAAAACTAATTTTAATCATATAACAATCAATTATTACAGTGCTAATCTAATGGTGATTAAATAATCTATATTCAAATACCAGTATCCTCTCCAACTACCAGAAAAACAATTCAACTACTTGAGGTCTAAACAGATCATACACAGAACATAACCATCATACACACAGAACAACACACACACAGAACAGAATCATATATAGCCTATACTGTAGTATCAAAAATATTTTAAGTATTGCGACCATTGCAACTGTCGGCTACTCTTTAACCACTTGAAAACACCCATGATCAACAAGCGCAGATAGCTCAGGAGGTAAGGTAAGAGGCTCACAAGGCGAAGGTACCAGGTTCGAAACCCGTCTGGGCCAAAAACTTTTTTCTCGTTTTTTTCTTCAAAATGTTTTGTTTATTAACTATTTAATCAATTTACTAAACTTATAATTAAGCTTTTCATACTAAATCTATATTATTTTGTGTTTTTTATGTTCAGGCCCAGACCACACATTATCCCAGGGACATCCCATAGTAGTCCCATATGTCCTGAGAATGTCCTGAGGACTACCCTGGGATGACCTCGGATGTCCCACGGATATGCGTGTGAGCTTATCCGTAGGACATCCCCGGGCGGGGACATTAGGCATTCCTGTGGATATCCTGTGATATCCCAAGTTGACCATAGGACCACTATGGGATATCTTGCACATCCTGTCGCAATATCCGTGGGATGTCCTTAGGAGAAAGTGTGCTGTCTGGGGATAGTAAAAATACTCGTAAAAGGAATGTTAAAATAGCGATGTTGTTATTCAATATTCATTCTCTTTGGTTTTGTTTTTATATTCTTTCTTATGGTTTTCTTTATCAAAAAAATTGTACAATTCACCATAGTTATCCCATATCGCCCAATCACAGCTTACTAAACATTACGTCGTCATCAGTCCTCAGTGAATGAAATCAGTTCTCAGTTGCAACATAGCGCGCGCAGAGACAGCAGACAAAGATGTAAAACGGAGCAGACGAATGTTAGCGCAAGCGATGACGTGACCTTTCCATTTCATTTGATAAAGAAACAGATTTTCCCAAAACAATAATTGGGTGGGGGATTTGTTATATCGAGGGAAAGACGTAGACAATTCGTTATGCAGAGGTTAAATTCGCAATGTAGAGGTTCTGACAATGATAAATTTGTTATATTGAGGTGTCTTATTTTAGCCGAAATCACGACAAATTCGTTAAATCAAGGTCGTTGTTATAGTTTGTTCGTTATGTAGAGGTAAAATATACATTGTGTCTTATGGAGAGTTCTAGGGGATTAAAAAAAATTCGTTATATCAAGGAATTCGTTATATCTACCTATTCCACTTTACTTATTCCATTTTTGTTTAATTTGTGAGGGATTTTTTGTTGTGGGTGAAGGGGGGGGGAGGGGCGGCAAATTTTAGTTTGCCCCCACTCAAAAATTGTCTAGATCCGGCCCTGGTTGTTAGTTCTTTTGAGTTAGGAATAAGACTGTTCAATATGTTACCACCTCGCCTTAAAAGTTTAGAACCTGTATGTCTTAAGAAACAGTTGAAATGTATTTTGTTGCAGCTTAGTGTATATTCTTTGAATGAATTCATTGATAATTGTAAATCAATGGACTGATGCATTTGATTTGTAAATAATTTGTTGTAAAGTACCTATTTTTGACGTTGTCATACATTGTAAATGTGTTGCGGCAATAAATGATTTGACTTTTTGACTTTTGGCTCATAGTAAACACACAAAACCGTTACACACAAGAGCGTTCGTTTTCAGACTGAGTTCGTTTTCACTTTCGATAACTGGAGCAGAGTGATTGATTACATTATCTTTGAGTTGACTCTTTTAAGTTATCAGAAATTATGACCACGACTATAATTAGTTTTGAAATAACGCCTGTAATACTTTGCAATTGGTCGAATTCGAGCAATAGGTGCACTAGGCTATTTTATTAGTCGGTGTTGACCATCAATGTATCAGCATGTACCATCGATTTACCAAGAATTTCGTCGTAAAATTTAATAGTATTGTTTTATGTGTGTTTTTCGTGTGCTTCAGATAATTAACATACCGTAAATGTTCTAGACACAGTTTTAAACTTGCAAAAATCACACTAAATGTTTTAATCGATCATAATTGATTTTGAGTTGTAATTTATGAGTTTGCTGCTACAATTTATTACAAAATCCAATAATTGGTACCTTTATCTCAATGTAAATAGTTCATTAGTTTCCAACAAAACTCTGATCCATTTCAAGATGGTTTTGAATTCTATATTCATTCAGCTTTTCAATAAAACAGACAAAATAATCAATTTCTTGCTGTAGAGTTTATAAGTTTTAATTCAAACAAATGCAAATTCAAGTGCAGAAAAAATCTATTGTTAATCCAGATGATAAGCTTCCTCGGTCTCAAATATTTTTTTACTCTAGGTATTCGGGTGATGACTGTATCATTTAATAAGCTAAATAAGCTAGTTTAGCTTTTTCAATGATGCGGTCTTCACCTAATGAGGTTGTCCAAAAGCTTAATGTTTTTGAAAATATCAACGTAACTAAAATATTGGACACCTAAATATCAATGTAAAAACATCGAAGACCCAAGATCCATGGTTGTACAAAACATCAATGTTGGTTGAAAATATCAACGTAACTAAATCATTGGACACCTACCATCAATGTAAAAACCATCGAATATATATCCATGGTTGTCCAACACATCAATGTTTGTTGAAAATATCAATATTCTAAAACATCGGACACCTACCATCAATGTAAAAACTATCTAATATATATCCATGGTTGTCCAAAACATCAATGTTGGTTAAAAATATCAATATACTAAAACATCGGACACCTACCATCAATGTAAAAACTATCTAATATGTATCCATGGTTGTCCAAAACATCAATGTTGGTTGAAAATATCAACCTAACTAAAACATTGAAAACCTAACCATCAATGTAAAAACATCGATGATGCAAGATCCATGGTTGTCCAAAACACCAATGTCAGTTGAAAATATCAATATGCTAAAACATTGGTCACCTACCGTCGATGTAAAAAACATCGAATATCAATAGAAAAACGTCGATGTTTCCAAACACATCTGTTATCGACGCTCGGTAAGAAGCAGTGTCTCCACCAATAGCTGACTATTCGTGACAGTTCTAGGCCGAAATATGACGACTCCCCGCTCAGTCCCGGGGTGGACGACCTGCTGATGGACTACGACCATCTCGGCAGCACGCCTCCACGCACCAGGATACGCATCAAGGACAAGAGCAGACGGGAGAACTACCAGAGGTTGATAACCAACATGTTTACAAACTAATAGATAAAACATACTCGCTTAGTAGATTTCTTTATGGAACAGCTGAAGACAATTTTATTGTTAGTTCTGTACGGTGCTGTGTTTTGTAGAGGTTCTGTAGAGGTTGTGTTTTGTTTACAATTCGTTTCTTATTATTTCAGTCATTTAAAACCTCGTTTAACCAAATAATACGATCTAATCATAAACAATAACTCGTCGCCTAGTTAGCCTATAACAAAACAGTAAAGCACAAATCAAGAAATTAACCCTAAAATCATAGAAACAAAGTTTTGTTGACACTAGCGTCCATTGTCACCGGACATGAACTAGACACGGAAAACAAGCTTCAAAATTTACAATGGGATGAGAAGTCTATTTGCGTTGGTTAGTCTATGCTAATATGTTATTGTTTGTGCATAATTTTAACGTCACATCTCAATATTATATTATCGTATTATAATATCTAACGTAACAGCTAGCTCCTAAAGCAGCATGTAGGCTACATTTTTATTTCTATTTATTTTAGGTTCTATGAATTTTTCATGTTCTTATTAGTATCACAAAAAGATAAATGTGATTAATAAATTTTGTAAATTTTTATTGATTGATTCTAAACAAGTTTACTTGCTTTTCAGGGAAACAAAATCTAGTCCACGATTGATTTATGGAGGCAGAAGTTCGTCAGAGAAAAACATCTATAACAGAACTCCATCCTCCAATAGTTTTGAAGATGAAGGTACAGTGTGTATTAAATATTCTAGCCAGTTTTACTAAGGCCTACAGAAACTTACATAAGATAATATCAAAACTAAGTTCCATAAACTGGAGTTTAGTAGGCTCTAGGGACGATGAAATCAAATTAGGTTATAGCGGGTAGCTAAAAGAATTGGTCTCGTGACTTGATGTTCGTGATCAAACTTTTGTCGTAACAGAACTTACCTAATACGTCGATTATTTTATCAATGGCAGTTATGAAATATTTTTAAAATGATTGTTTTTTATTAATTGAAGGAAAAGTACCCACTTAAGAATTTCCTGAAGTAAGATCATAAAATAAACGTCTGCGAATGTGATGTACTGAACTCAGGTTTCACCATTGGTTTTTGTAAAATCAGATGATTGTTTTCATGTTTGTCTCATGCCTGGTTGGATTTGAGTTTTTTTATTAATCTTGTTCTTAGATGTTTGATTGATAATTTTAACCCCAAATAAATACTGATAAAATCACATGGTGATGAATAAGCCGTAGCCTGAGCAGGAATTTAACATCATGCTGAGACAGGACAGAAAAATTTACAACTTGTTGGCATGGGTCTAAAACAATCAGGGTTATGTACAGTATGTCAGGTAAATGTACAAAATATTGGGGAAGGCCAGAGAAATAAACATGTCAGGGAAAATATTTAGGAAAAGTCAGAAAAATATTCAATATGTCAGAGGAATGCACAAAATGACGGGAAGTTAAGGGAAATAAACTAAATTTTGGGTAAGGCAAGGGAAAGTCAGAAAATTTACTATAGACCAGGGAAATTATAACCAGTTAAGGACAAGTCATGGAAAATTTGGGTAATTTACAAGTTTACAAAATTTTAGGGGAAATTACTGAAATTTGTAGCATGTTAGGGTAAGCGAGAGAAAGTCAAGAAAATTTATATTAAATCAGCGAGATTAACTATATGTAAGGGAAGGCCAGGGAAGTGAAAATATATTAGGGAACCTCATAACATTTCAGGGCAAATTGGGGAATTTTGGAACATTTTAGGGCAGGCCAGGGAAATAAACACCATGTAGATGAAGGGGAAAAATACAGTAAATGAGGAAAATTCAATAGGTTATGGAAGGTCAGGTAAAGTTCTCTACAGGGTAATTTACAATATTTCTGGGAAAATTACTTAAATTTACATGTTAGGGAAAATCATTGAAAATGAAGAACATTTACAGTATTTCGGGGAAATTAACAAAATGCAGGGGAAGACCAAGCAAATACACAACACATGTCAGGGAAGTTATAACAAGTTAGGGATGGTTAATTTAATTTCAGGGGAAGTTAAGGTAATTTTTAACATGCCAGGGCAGGTAAGGGAAAGTCAGTAAAACTTACAATATGTCAAGGAAATTTACAAAATGTATGAGGTCAGATAAATCTATAGGTAACATTTCAGGGTAGGTCAGAAGAATTAACGAAATTACAATATATCAAAGAATTGAACTAAATGTCAAGAAAGGTCAGGTGAAATAAAGGAAATCAAATGAGGTATTTTTGTAAACCCCTGTACCAGTAACGTGGCCTAGAGTAGCACCAGTAGCCTTGACTTTAGCAAAGTTGCCTCAGGTTACAGTTGTCCAGTCATGTCTTCAGACGATGTTTGTCCGTGCTAATGGACGGTGCAAATACAAAGCCAGACGTAAACAAATCTTCTTTCTTTACACTACGTTCAGTGTTTGTTATGGTAATTTGTAATTTGTGTTATGAAGAAAATATTTTTGTTCAAGATTTAGTTTTTAGTTTCTTAACTATATATATATTTTTGTCTAAAACAGTATCCCTTCCAAACGAATTAGGGTGAATTGCATTAAATGACCTGAAAAGAAAAACTTAAAATATATTATGGAAACTTTTTGAAATTTTTACTAGAGAAATATTGTTATAGGTAAAAGTAATGTGATTTATAAGGCAATCTATTTCGGTAAGTAATAAGGGCTAGCATTGATTTCCCCCATTCCCCCAGGGGTATGATGGATGGCTAGCTTGTGTGCCTTTGTTGAATATCTCCGTCTTCGTCTTACGTCAGTGTAGAATATGTTCTGGGTGTGCTGTGGTCAAAGTAAGTTGTACTTTGGGGGTTTCCATTAATCATTTGAATTAGTTATCATTTATATTTAGTATTTGAAATGTTTATTTAATGTACTGTTATTTTATTTGTATCTGTAAACGCTTGTAATTTCGTAACTAGTTTTTTAAATTTGAATTGACTCTCTAGAAACCCAAACAATTAGCTTGGACTTCTTGTTAATGATTTTCTAAATTTTGTTAGGTAAAATGTTAATCTATCTTAATACTGTATGTCATTTAAATAGGACCACACAATAGAAAAATATGTTATTGTAACCTTTTCTTCATTGTATCCTTGAATTCATAACTATCATCGTAGATGAAAATATTGCATATTTGATTTATGAATCATATAATTGCCCATATACTATTGACTGAATTTTCTTTCTTTTTCTTTATTTATTATTCGTAGAGAATAGTCCATTGTCATATTTGAATGATAAAACACTATTTATGGTTTATTTTTCTTTATCTGAAAAGGTGAATCTGATTAACATGGTTTGTTTACTGAATTTTTCATTTATGGCACAAACCCTAACATTATTGTTAGAAATATGTTAGATATTACCAGTCTTTTGGACTGTGACACCTGACAATGTTACAAATATCTGTATTGTGAATTATATTGTGAATGCTTTTGCAGAGGATGTTTCAGATGAGATAATTAGCCTAATGTTAACTAAGAAACTCCTCCGACAACGTAATTAATTTCCAATTTAATATGTGTACTTATTTGTTTGCATGCAGTATGGAATATCATTTTAGCATATTGTTTACAGCGGATAGTCCCATAGAACGTCGGCCGAGCTACAACAAACGGACGATGCAGCGACTACGAGGCTCGGAGAGAGATCTCAAGCTGGATCTGAGCGACATTCGGACTCCAGCGGCGCCTAGAGATGATAGGGCGGAGAGTTTACCTCCACAGTCTGCGTTTAAGGTACCAACATAAACACCTTGTAGTAGATAGGCCATATACCTTATACCTTTGACTATCTATAGAAGATGACATACTATCCCCATACTAGGGATGGGCGACAAAAAAATAATAGTTAAAATATCAGGGTTTCCAACAAATAACTGTTTTTGTAGTATTAGGTTACTGATAGAACCCTGCTATTTTAATAACGGTTTCAGTAGATTTGCCAACGCCAGCTGCTACATTGCCGCTGTAACCCAGGGCCGGCACTGGACGAGCCAAGTTTCACCAATAACAGTCCGAGCAGTTATTGTAAAACTAATACTGTGTAAATTATATTAAGGTGAAATGGAAAATGTAGGTTTCATAACAAAATCATTAGAATAACAGTCAACATGATAACATGCAGAGAAATAACTGTGCTCCGGTAACGCCAGGGAAATAACAGTCACCTCAGTAACAGCGGAGGAATAACAATTTAGCTCGGCAATGGTAAGTCCTTGCTTCATTCCGGACTGACTGACATCGGCCTGTATTGGGTTATTAAAATGACTGGTTACGATAACCTAGTATACATAGAGTATATTTAAAGTGTATATAAAGTGTTTATTCAGTGTTCTAAACATCCCTTTATCATTCTAATTGCAATCATGCATAATCATTTTTCATGCTCATTTCTTAAACAACACAATAATCCAATAGTAAGCAAGCTCTATTATTTTTCTTGCATCATATTTCTTTTATTATTTATGATTTTAGTTGTTTTTCAAACTGATGACTTATGAGTTTTTTTTTTTAGTTTTGTTTGCTCATTATTTGCTGTGCTTTATTTTTTAATTCATCTCATGACCTCATGCCCTGTGCGGCTGGTGTGCTGCAGATTTTCGGATTGCAGGTTGAGTCATGCAACCGGTTCATGAGCTTGTCCAGCAAACCGGTTTCGTCGCGCCAGTGTCGTCCGTCGTCCCAGGCCACTGTCGCGCAGAGTATTGATGAGTGTAACCAGAGTCGAGTGGAGTTCTACCAGACGTTCTCCATGCTTATCAAGATGGGCAACCCAGAACGTCAGGGCGACGTGACTAGCTGTAGACGTCAGGTTAGTTTCAACGAGTAAACCTTGTAGACCGAAGGTGAAGGTGTAGAAAAATTATGTTTGGAACTAATTGTATGTCTTAGATGGACTTGGGAACTACATAGAGCTTATGTTTTAAAATGACACACATTCATGTTAGATTCGTATCGGATTAATAAGATTTGTATGATGCTGACTCACCAGAATGTATATTTCTAGGCGAAGATCAGTGAAGGATTAGTAGTATTAATTGTATGAGATAATAGCTAATATTACTGGTTAAGATCAGTGTTACTTATTCAAGGCCATAATCAAAAGATGAATAAAGCAGCTCTTCCAATTTCAGATCATTAAACAGCCAACTGTTGTTCTGTTTATTAAATTAGATATTAGATCAAGTTATAACTTCAATAAATTTTAATAGGCATACAATAAACAGTGTACAATATATGTGGTTTTTCACCCGTCGATTGAAATAAGTTTTTTAGTAAATGTTGACTGTGTGCAGCTCAGTAGAGAGGAACACTTGTGGCAGAATGAGTTAAAAGACCTGATCTGGCTGGAGCTGCAGGCCTGGCACGCCGACCGCACACCTCAACAACAGGACCAATACCTGTGCGAGGCTAGGGAGGGGGTACAGTCACTACTGCTGGATATTATCAATTACAAGTAAGCGCATCTTTTCATCCATAATTATTTTGTTGTGGAATACTGCAATACCACTTCCCCTTGGAGGTGTGTCCGTTTGCTAAACCAAACTATTGATACCATGTGTAAGGTAGGGGTCTACGGCTCCTCGATATTTTTAGGTCGGTCAAGCCAACAGTTGGGCCGAGAGATCATTACGGATTGGAAATAATTTTCAGACCATACTTGGGTCGGGTCGAGCCGTGCTGAGCTTGTTTGCGATTGGAGAAAGTGTCTGCAAAGATGTGCGATCAAAAGTTTTCAATTTTGCTGCAATTCTGTGTGATGTTCTTCGGTTTGCAAATGATGATATCGCATCGACCATAGAAGATGGCCAAGAGTTTGCCGAGACCATTTAAGACGTTTACAATTTCACTGCGACCCCTGAACATGTTTATGATTCCACTTTGACTGCGGAAGGCGTTCTGGACTGGACTTCAACAAGCCCTCTAATGATGTTCACGATTATGCTGTAATGCGGAAAACTGTATTGATTTTGCCGTGTTATGAAAACGTTCACGATTTTGTCATGTCTGCGGAAGACGTTCACAATTTCACCATAACTGAAGAAGATATTCACCATTTTGTTGTGATCACACTATGTTCACTAGCCTATTTCACCGAGATCATGTATAATATTATGTATAAACAGAGTGATTTTATTATTACAGTAAAACCTCAACAACAAGACTCTCATTTATATTATTAAATAAGGCTTATTATCAAGGTTGACTTCTTATCTAGGTTTGCAATAACATGTGGGGTTAAAAAAATTCAATGGGATTTGAAGATTACTCTTGCCATCAAGAGTGACTTGCCATGGAGGTTCCACTCTAATATTTAAAAAATTCAATGTTTTCTAAATCAACCCAATTTTTGCCCTCACGTCGAACCAAAACTATTTATAAGACCCAAAGTAAAAAATTCTGCCTTGCAAAAAGTACAGTATTGCCTTCTTGACTAGGAGTCTCTAGTCCAGAGGGTAATACATTTTTAAATTGACCATACACTATAATGTAAGCCATTCTATTTTGATTTTCAGATTTAGAAGACGATCTGATCCAACTCTAAGCAACGACAGTGGAATCCACATCCCTGCTCAGGTCACCTGCTCGGGACAGTGCATAGGTTTGTACTTATTTATGTGTAGTGTTTATGTAGACGAGTGATTAAAAATGTATGAAAACAATACAAAAATAAATACCAGATTGATGTAATTAATATTATGGTAAATAAATATTGTAGCTATAACTATGTTAAATGTAAAATGTTTGACGATAACAGGGCTCTAACAAAAAGTCGTAATGATGATTGCAAACAAGGACCTGAAAGTGTCACACATGAGACGAAAATTAGTCCTTGTCACAGTGTCCCTATGACAAGTCATTGTAACCTTGAATGTGGCCCTGAGGCTTTGAAATGAATTAGGACCACAAAACATCGCCTGTCAGATTCGTAATCATCAGTCGGAGTCTACGGCCAATTAATTTATGAATTGTCTGCTATTGTAGATAAGAGCTAGTAATTTTTCTTTGTGATTAAAAATATGAAACAAAGAAACTATACCTATTGTTACCAACCTTTTTTGCTGAGGTTTGTTTCATCTTGGAGCCTCTTAAAAATAATATTTCTTTTGATTTTAAAATTTAAATTTTGCATCTTGAGTCAGTGATAAACTAATATTTCATGTATGAATTACTTTTGAAACATTTCTAAAACAAAATAAGAAAGTGGGTACTAATCCATACAGTAATAATACAGTACAGTGGGTAGCATCATGTGTTTTCTTTTTTGAAATATTTTTTTATGGTGATTTTCTTTTAAAATACACAAAACAACCAAATTAACCCAAAAGATTTTGATTTAAATTTAGTATGTTATGATGGTTCTTTCAACTGTAAACGAAATGGTGTTTAAAGTTCAAAAGTTATTAAGATTTTTGTGATTTTACCTATAAAATATCGTAGTTACTCCTACCACTTGACAATAAGAAGTTTTGACTAGGGAGAAAGTGTGTTTGCTGAGTTTTATTTACAATTTTCAGGAGAAGACGATGAAGGCAACTGCTGCACATGCCTGTCCATGTTCTGTCCTGTGTGTATGCAGCAACAGAACGAGGCGTTGCGGGAGGTGGAGGCTCTCATGGCTAGACTGCAAGCTGCCGAGGCTCTGTTCCCGTCCAGCAAAGCATTCGCAGCTCACTATCCGTTGTACATGAGCGACAGGTTTATAGCCCGCATCAAGGTAATCGAGAGTTTTGAATCGTAGTTACAACGTCATTTTCTCTGACGATGTTAGACAGAACAGTAATGGTAAAAACCTTTAAAGCTGCTATAAGGCAATGTATAAACTTGACTTTTATCTTTGACTATTGATAAATAGAACCAAACTTTCCATACCATGTTTAAGTTTTCTCCGGTTTTTAAATCAAAGTGGTCGAGGTAAAGTTAGCCACTGACAGATTGCGCTGATTTAGATTAATAATTTAAATTTCTGTTGAAAAAGCAGATGTCTACTTCAGTATATTAAAGTAAAATGTTTTGTCGAAGATCGTCAAAGTTAAACAAATTTTTAAAGACAACACCAAACATTGACTAATGTGCATTTTAAAATCATCTACACTGCTGTTGAGCATAATGAATAATCAGTTTGACACCATTAAGGCCTACCTACGTAGTTTATATTTAATACTTACAACCCTTAGTTAAATCTTAGCCAAACAATTTGCAATCACTATTTCTTGTTTGTTTAGATATCTTAAAGTTTGTCTTGTAATCTGTTGTTTTCAGGCCATGTGTGTGTGGTACAATATGACCAAGCATCACAGGCTCAAACTGCTCATACTGGGCAAACATCTGTTGGCTCATGCCGAGAAGAACCAATGTGCCTCAGAGTAAGTAAAATATATTATACAGTTTACATTAAATACCTATACGCAATGTGTGGTTGTTAAACTTCTATACATACAGCAAAATCCAGAATAAGTGTTTGTTAGCTTTATACTTGCTAGAAGTATTGCTTGAAAAGATAAAGAGCGAGCTAGTCTAGTTGTAGAGTACAGGGCTTCGGTCCTTTGATGTCTCGGGTTCAAATCCTACCAATCACCAATTGATTTTATCCATGTGATAATGATGCTACCCTCTAGGTCTAGCTTTAAGTAATGTGTATAATGGGCCCAGGCTAGAGCATAGCTTCCCAGGATGTAAAAGTCGGACATAAGACTTAAAAAAGACTTTTAAAATTTTACAAAAAAAACTGTTACATAATTTACAGTTACAGTTGGGTATGTGAGCAGCTGTGCTAATCTACTTTCAAAAGGTTCAATCCTGTGAATAGTCTGAAAAAATACAAAGCTGAATCAAAAAACTAAAACACAAAATTTAACCAGATCTTTGATGGATCAAAACTTAAAGATGCTGTCCTTTACGATTGGGCTCATAATTGAAAAACAGCTGATCTAAGTTGGTGACAATACTATGAAAGTAATTTCATATGGTCTTATTTAGTTTAATATATACACTTAGTATCCTGCTGCTTTGAAATTAATTAAGTTAAAACTGAACTGTCTATAGTTTAATAACGGAGCTGTCGGAGGCGTTCAGCCGCAGTGCCAAGTGTGCAGTGATCTCTGTGGAGCCGGAGGATGAGGCCAGTCATGACTTCTACAACATCCAGCCTCTAGTGAGAGTGGCCAAGTACTTGGAGCAGGCAGACATATCTCACAACAACAACTCCGTGTTCAGGTGAATACAAGGTTGATTCGCTCCGACGTTTTCATATTTGATAAATAATACTCGGTTAAGCATAAATTTGGTTGTGGTTTTCATACCAGAAACTTATCTGTTGATGAAATTTAACCTTGTAAAGCTAATTTTATCTCACTTTGAAAAAAAGGTTTTATTTTGGTTAGGATTGTAATAGTATATTTCACTACTAGTCACCAAAGTTCGATCTGTGGAAAGTTCGAAAGCTCGATAGTGTTTCCCATGCTCGTCTTAGACTTGCATGTAAAACACTATCTCGCCCCGAAATGGGACTTTCGTGACGAGTATTGAACAATACTTTTTATCACAATGAAAAAAAAAAAACTACAAAAACTACAATTTTGAGCTAACCAAAAACTTCAGTTGTAACTTTGTTGATGTCAGGCAAAGTATTGTTTGTGTAACAATTTTATGTAATGTTTATGCCAGGAAAAGTCAGCTGATCACTATTTGTTTTCGGTGTATGGAAATTGACGATTTTTGAGGATCTCAGCTGTATGGAAATGGGCTATTTTCGAATACAGAGTTATGAAAATTTATTTTTGATCCAGTTTGTTGGGTAGTAATGAGGAATATGCTATTGAAAACAGATATTTTAGACAACAATATATGTTTTGCTTTACTCTGCCATAAAATTAAAGAGAAATAAACAAAATAATTATCGTATCATGTTTTCTGCAATGTTTGACCCATTTTGTAAAACTCTCTGCAACTTGAAAAATATCAGTGCAGAGATATTACTTTTGACATTGTAATGGGTTTTGATGGATTAAACTTTTCTTTTCTCATTTTGTTAAACTTATTGATGGACTTCATGGCAATCTGTATGTTGTTCATGAAGTTAGTGTACATAATCTATTAAGTAAATAGTAATACTTTTTGTCTATTGTTAACTGTTAGTTACCATAACTTTATTAAAGAAAAGAATTATTTACAATACCCATGATTGAGAAATTGTTAATGTATGTTGCAGAAAATATATAGAAGACGTGCTTAAAACCAAAGGTCTGCGTAAAGCTCTCAGTTTTCTTGAAAAGCTTCACATGGGCATGTTGAGGAAGGCTAGTTTCACTCTGCAGAAACCAGATGATGATCCCACCAATGTGAGTAATGAAGTGAGTGAACAGGAAATTATTGTAGGTTGTAAAGTAGTAGACCATTTTCGCAGCTCCTTTTCCTGAGTACAAACATATTCTCTTCAGTTCCACTAAATCTCTGGGCTTAGACTAGGTCTCTCGATCTCCTTCCATTTTTTACAGTTTCTTTTCCTTTACCATATGATCCCTCCTTGTCTTCACTGGATCTTCCTCAAGAAACCTACAATCCTTCCTTCCATCATTATCAACTGCCACAGAGTGAAAGGCCTCATAAACACCTACGGTACGTCCTAGCTTTACAAGGTCATCCTAGCTTGTCTAGTTTACTCGTCATTACACTACCATAATGTTTGGGGATGGACGAGTTGCTATGGGAAAATTTTATTCCTGATCTTTGCGTGGGATTGGTATTTACTACAAGTTTTTTTTTTTACAGGATTTTTTCAATTGTGAGCTCATTTGCTCTGATCCGAGTGACGATGATGTCTCCCCTATTAGAGATATTAACAAATTTTCCATTGTTGGGTGATGATGATGTCTCTGCAATCACGGAAGATGATAACCATAGTTCCGCAATCACAGATGTAGTCTGCGATTGCGGAACTATGCCATCATGACTGTAGTCATGATGGCATTGAATGTGATAAATAAACATGAAAAAGTTAATGCTGCTTTTCTAATGGTGGCAATTTGAGACATTACTTCAAATTAAGATTTTTTTAAAGACTAAAGTTTATCTTCCTGCATAGACAGAAAGATCCTGTCCAGGAAATCAGGATGGAAATTAAAATCCCTTCACAAACTAAAAGCACAACCCTTTCAATCCCTCGTAATTTTCAATATCTATTTAACTATGTCAGGTGTCTGAAGAGGAAGACCAAGAGATGCGCAGGTACGGCTACTGGAGCGCAGAGTCGCAGGGTCTAGGGCTGCCATCCTACCAGGCTGCCTACCTCTTCATCTATCACATTCCCATGGACATGATCAGGATAGAGACTGAAATATAATTGTATGCTTGTGTCAGGTGTCTGAGGAGGAAGACCAAGAGATGCGCAGGTACGGCTACTGGAGCGCAGAGTCTCAGGGTCTAGGGTTGCCATCCTACCAGGCTGCCTACCTCTTCATCTATCACATACCCATGGACATGATCAGGATAGAGACTGAAATATAATTGTATGCTTGTGTCAGGTGTCTGAGGAGGAAGACCAAGAGATGCGCAGGTACGGCTACTGGAGCGCAGAGTCTCAGGGTCTAGGGTTGCCATCCTACCAGGCTGCCTACCTCTTCATCTCTCACATACCCATGGACATGATACATGCATACTTGCGACTCAGGATAGAGACCAAACCGGAGCGACCATCAGTCATGAGTATAAGACAAGTAAGTTTTTTAATGGAAAATCTTTCGATATGTTTTACAAAACGAAAACACTACTGTATAAGTTTCATGGCGGTCTGATGACCCTTCCTTGTTACCTGTAAAGACACTACGGTTTGATAAGACTCGCTAATGAATCATTGATCTTTTTGAAAGAACAATCAGTGAACTAACAAGACCGTATACAGCATGTTGTCCATTAGTTGCTCCAATTTTTTACAGCTGTTCCCAGTTGTGAGTGGGACAGAGACAGATTTATTGTTTTCTAACGTCAAAACTATGACAGGTTGATACTCTAAAAGATTGTGAGAACAACTTTTTAGTTGTGAATATGGACCTTCAATTTTAATTTAGCCTAATATTTATCTTTGAGTTCTACTTCGATAATGAAATTATGAATTTAATCATGTCTAGAACCGACTTTTCTGCAGAACAGCTGCAAAATGATGAACGGTTTGTTGCTATTTGGGAAAAACTACCAGCATCAGGGACTAGCGGAAGGGTCCAGTGGACGTTGAAAAAACCTTGCTTTGAAGGAATTAAAACAAAAAACTCCCACATACAAAGACCTGTAAGGAAATCATCATTACTAACTGTAGATCTAAAACACTCAAAAGGATTTTGTGCCAGACCCTTAACACAAATACAAATGTACACAAATGTATACCAATGTTATTTATTTAAATTTGACGCTGTAACATTTCTTGATGAAATTGTAATAAAGGAATTGTCTATTGTCTATTGTCTATTGTCTTTAGTCTACACACAATATACAAGCTCCACTGGACTTGTTCTAAATTCATCATCAGACTAACATTATGACCAAAGGATGTAAGCAATATTTTTTGTTTTCTAGCTGATCCGAGAGCTGAAAGAAGGACTGAGGCTTGCCGTGCTCAACAGACAGCGCTACCTGGACAACGTCAACTCATCTTTGTGGAACTGCTCAGCTGATATTGTAGAGTCTTTCAAGTCTAGAGTCACCAGCTTCGATGCCAGCGTTCAGAGTGTGCTTGAGGTGACAAATGCTACATCTGTATTGTAAGTGTTGTCGTGAGAGTAAAAAAACTAACACGGATTTACTTGGTATGGAAATAACACTGTCAGCAGCTCCAATATCAAAGATTATGATGATTGTGTTTTGGCAAAATGTTATTATACATTTTTTCACTTCAGGAAATATAGTGAATCCACTTGATTAGCTCTGTTGATGGTTTGGATAAAAAGTATACATTTTAACACAAAGAGTACCAAAAATACTGTTGATATGATAGTATTATCTCAGAAAAACAACATTGCCAGTCCATGAGCTGGAACAGGATTCTAGGCCTGTCATATCAAAAGTATTTATTTTATTTAATAATTCATATTGAGTTGTATCAGTCTGTGTGCGGCTTCGGCATCTTCCGCAGTTCAATTTTGATTATTTGGATGGCCAAATGTTTCAATGTTCTTAATGGTTTTTTTATTTGTAGTGTTTGAGTGTGAACTGAATTTAATCATGACGATGACTACAGTAAAAATAAGAGGACGAAATATCGTAATATTTGACAATAGGGCAACAAGCCTTGAAACTAGAGTGAACTGAAAAATGCTATAAAAATGACAACAGTAAAAGGTAACTTGACCTATTTATTTAAATCATGTTGTACATTCAAACTATTAATGGAGCTACTCAAGATGCTTTTATAATTTTCCTTCTCTGAGGTGTTTAAAATTACATTCTATGAAAACAAGTATCAACCTGTTTCCTATTAGAACTGTTGACTGTTGTAAACACTTTTCAGTCAATATTGCAGTATCAGGACTATTACAACTAATTTTAAGAGAAAAAAGTTATGTCTAGAAGCCTCTTAGAGTCTGTATATCTGGTGTAATAGGTAAAGCAATTACAAAGGAAACTATCTGTTCCTCTTTTAAACCTTGCACATTGTTTGTGCAGGTTTACCTGGATTTCCTCCAACAGTGGGTTCAGATGATTCAACAGCACAGAATACAGAAGAATATCCTCAAAGAAGAATGGTCCTTTATTTCCAGCATCACCAAACACATCCCTGGTGGACAAGCTCTGGTCGGCAGCAGCTTTTGGTTGGTTTATCTCATTGTCAGATGTTTTACAAAGGTCTATGACTCCCTGAAGTTTTGAGGTCTGGCCAACAGTTAGCCCAAGAGATCGTTTTGGGCCAGAAATAATAAGTGTCTAGCTATAATTTTCACTATCGTAGGAAGGATCTGCAAAGATTGCGCCAGGAAAGATTCTCGATTTTACCAATTTTGCAGAAAATATTCACTACTACTGTACTATTGTCACAGTACGAGACAATGATAGGAAAATATATTAATTTATGTGTTTTTTCTAAGAATTAATCAATGTTAAATGTGAATTCAAGTTATTGGAGTTTCCAATATATTCGTCCCAATTAGAACATATGCCCTACTTATAAGTTTGTTAAATGTCTTGAAAGGTTCTGTTTTGTTGCAGTCACATGGCCATCTCGATGGTGAAGATCACCCGAGAGCAGTTCCAGAGTCAGGTGGATGAGTTGACAAAGAGCATCGCCCATGTAACGGAGGCGGAGAGTATAATCAAGTAAGCGGGGCATTATTGATTTTTAAGTTACCATTGATGACTTATTCTTTTTAATATCCTAAATTGTTGATTTTTCTACATTCAATAGTACACTTAAGTTGTGTCTAGCACCATTCACTTGTGTCCAGTGAAAATTCTATTGGTCGTCCTCCGCTCTCCTCTTCAACCCTCACTGTCACGTACATACAACAGCGCTCACGCTGTAGGAATAGCCTGTGCGCTTCAACTGCTGTTGTAAACAATAGCTGTTCAGGCTCTTCCTTTCTCGTTACTAGTATATTTCTGCCCCACGTATTCCAGAGCTAAAGGTGCACGGTTGTTCTAAGCATGTTTCCTCAGTATCTTACTTCTCTGTGTAATGTCTGTTTGTGATGTAGACAGAAGATGTTCTCCGTGTGCCGCCACCTACAGGAGCTCTGTGTGGACAGTAGAGAGAAGATACTCAATGTTCTACATCTGTCCAAGATGCTGAGAAAGGATCTGGAGAGTGAGGCTTACGAGAACAACCTCTCATCACTGTGCTGCAACATCATCGGCGACTCTCTATCCAAGCTTAAGGTCAGTTTGGTATCATCACGTTGTTAGTAACCTCTGGGAAATTCTTAAACAAAGTGTGTTATCAATCTTTGGTCTTCGTGTGATGGAGGTTATTGAACTAGCAATACTAGCCTACGTTTTGGGATGTGTTGTCTCTTTGACTAAGAATTGAACAAGACATTCCATTCCCATGTTAAGTTGTCGCCAGTTTTGGATGAAAATGAATGTAGCTGATTTGAGCCACCTACAGAGTGTACTGATAATCGCTGATTTCTGTTGGATACCAATTATTTTACTATTCCAAACTGAAAATACAGCTTACTGCAAGCTACAGCAGCTGGTTTGCCACCTCAATTACCAAATCATCAAAATACAAGAAGGAAAATCAAATTTTGACTAGTGTAATTTTGTAAGTCGCTCATTCTACTGTGTTCTGCCAGAACACCACCTAAAGCTGTTTGAAACTAAACCAAGCCTCAAGGGGCAGAAAACTCCACAATCCACTGGCTCAAGAAATATATACCAAAAGAGAGAACTTTCTGAGATCGGCTATGAAAGTATAGCTCCTGAACCCGCCGTTTTACTCAATGAATTTATCAGTTAAAATCTTACCCACTTCTGACTCCATATTATAATCCCACACTATTTTTAATTTCACACCACTGCTATCTGACATAATTTTGAATCTTATTGTAAACATCCGATTCTAAATTACTGTAAATTTAATCAAATTCCTCACCACTTGACTCTGATAAAGTCCTACATAGGACCAAATTTCTGTGTTGGTAATGTGAGCGTTTTTACAGAGAGAGGCGCTGAGCATGTGTGAGTGCATCTCCACCATAGTGAGACATATAGACGACGCCAGCCAGGTGCCGGAGGATTGGGACGAGGCCGACAAAGACGTCCTTCACAGCCGGATCAGAGAAGTGCTACATCAGTTTTTCAAGTTTGGATTTGAGGTAACCGTAATTATATTTTCTACAGGTTGATGTTCTGGGTAGATGTAAGATTGAATCCAGGGTGCAGAGAGAGAGAGACTCGTCATTTCTGTCCATGGGTTGGAAAACAAAGAGTGAGGAAAATTTCATAGAGGAAAACTCAGGGCCAGGAGGATTATAATATGAAAGCTCAATGTTGTAAGTCTGGCTTACTTACTCATATCAATAATTAAGCAGCCATAAGGATAGAGGAAGCCCACAGTGAACAGTTGTTAGAATAGAATAAACTCTTAACTTAGTTGTTAGAGTTAACTCTTAAAGCAATCTTGAAGCTGTTTTTTTTACAAAACCATAATATAAGTCATTTAAAAAAATCTGAAATATTTTTAGTGTCCATCTTTTGGCCAAATATCCAAAAGAATACTCAATGACCAAATTCTTAACCTTTTCATTTCATTAGGGGTGTGCGATGCAGCATATTTTTTTCGATTCGATGCATCGATGCGATTCAAAGAATTTCGATTCGAATCGATGCGATTCGATTCGATGCAGCACGGCATAATTTTCTTCAAAAATTAAATACATCATGTGTTTCTGTAATGGATCCTTTACCTTAAAAAGGTTAAAGTAAAAAATGTACTAAATAAAATTATGAACAAGAGGATAGTTGCTGACCTAACCTCATTAATGGACACTGCTAATTTTATGGTTTGCCTAAGGAAATTCACCCTTCACTAACAATTAGAATAAGCCTATATCAATAAAGCAATCGTTAAGTTTATTATTATTGACCTGTATTAAATAAAATAGAGTTTATTTTATGATGTACAGGTAGTATTGTTACTTAGTTTTCACATTTATATTTGTTGGCTTTCAATACTTTTGGTTCATTCTTAAATCAGCATGAACCAAAAAAGTTGATAATCAGTGTTTTTTACTACAATTGGATCTTAGGCTGGACCCGGTTTTAATGGATCCGATTTTATTTATACTAGGGATGGACGAGATTGGATTTTTAGTTCGAGACGAGACGAGACGAGATTTTTTATTTCTCATAAAATTTCGAGACGAGATCGAGACGGGATTTCCCTTCTCATACACAACGGGAAATGCACGTTCAAAATTTTTACCTGATTTTGTAACATTGTTAGATGACTGTTTAAATAAAAAAATAATGATAATAGGCAAAAATATTTACAATCTTTTATTAAAAAACATCAGAATAACATTTTTTTATTAATCACGCCTAAGTTATTAAAAATGCCTACGATTAGGAAACATAGTGATATCAGTTAGGATAGAGTTAAACTTATCCTAAAATAAAATAAATCATAAAATAAAAGTAATATTAATTTTTTTTAAATAGTTGGTACTTGTTTTGACTTTTTATAGTAATGAAACATTCCTCACGCTGCTTACACTTAACAAAACTTCTCAAATAGTATTAAAGTAATATTATTAAAATAATTAAAGCAATATTTACATTTAAAGAATTAATTCAATAAGAACGCCTTCGCAAAGGAAACGCAACTACAACACGCTCCTGTATTGCGGGTATTGCATTGACTTTCTGCAGGCGTTTTTAATTTTTTTTAAATTTTTTTTATTTTTTTATTCTCGTCTTGATAAAAATCTCGGCCAAAAAGAAATCTCATCTCGTGTAACGAGATTTAAAATTTCCCGAAATTTCGAGACTTGACCATCCCTAATTTATACAATTAACACTAAATGGGCGAGTATTGAGATGTTGAGTTCGAGTAGAGTACGGCCTTGAAACTCGAGCTTATCTTTGAACTCGCTAGTTTGGTATAAAATTGTAAGATCAATATTTGTTGAAATGTAACTTGTGTTTGCATAAAATGATGGATAATTTGTATTACTGTAGATTCTACAGTCATACAAATATAGAAATAAGCAAGAGGTAGTTGTCCTAACCTATTTTTATAGCTGTCACGACAGAATAGGTCAACTCAAAGCAGTCGCCGGCGACTGACTGGCAATGGTATACTGACTTGACACGGAATAGAATGACATGATCGGTAGTGATTTTGTTTTAAAGTAGGCCTAGTGTTTCACAATAGAAAATTTCACTACTGAACTGTTACGTAAGCAATAAATTTATGTTTATAAAAAGTCAGAATAGAAACACTATAAAGGCAAAACAATAGAAGGGAGGCAGGCGTTGTGCAATGATCTCGAAATGAGCGGAATAGTAACATTGAGTAGGGGGTTGGAAGGGGGGGAAGGGAAGGGTGAGACCTTTGAGCTATTTAGACTAGACTTTCACCACTTCCCAAATGGCTGGGTATGGGGATTACAATAGCAGGTTTTTTCCTTGCCTGGTTTGACTTTTGTCTTTTTCTGTAGGAGATTTTAATAATCAAAAATATAATTTGAATTGACCACAATTATTTAGCATTGATAATACAATTTGCAAGGGACCAGGAGGAAATAGAACAAAACACTTAAATTAATAGAATAACACACAAAGTAAACAAGAAATTAAATACAGAACATGGTGATTTAACACTGTCACTGTCACTCAATTTTGTTGTCTAGAAGGGTCCGGTGAACTAATCAATAAATAGCCAAAACCAGTTTCCTCCCCCTCTTCTCTCTCAGTCTCACCACCACCCCTCCCCCCGTGAGCCGGGAGGCCCAGCACTTTGTCCTTGAAACACCCTAGCCTCTGAAACAATAAACCCTTACACCTGCGTTGCTGTTTTGACAAAAGATTTATGAATGCGTTCACTATTTTTCATTTTCCAGAATTAACTATCAATTAGGGCCTATTATTATTTGCAAGTTACAAATAGGAAACTACATGACATTATGGTATTCAATTACCCATGTATTATCAAAAATGAATAATTCATTACTTATTTTGATAATAAAAAGCATTCATTACAGCACGCAGCACTTATTGATATATATATATATATATATATAAAATCATCAAAGTATCTGTTACTTTATACAAAATAAAATAGGTACAAAATTGTGTGGCCAGTCAAACTTTATAAACAAACATTTTATTCTATAAAATACAGATGGTAAATAGGGGTTGGTTTAAAGGAAATAAAATACAAAACAGATTAATTAATTATTTTGATAAACGATGGAAAGGTTATGGGATTGATTGAACTACAATAACCACAGGGAATCTTAATTAGAAAAGTCGTCAACCACAGTCTGTTTAATCAGTACATCGCTGGAGAGAGAGAGAGGGGGGGAGAGAGAGATAGCAGATAAGGGCGTTTGATAGGGAATATGAAAAAGTAAACAAACAAGGAACAACGACGCGACAATACTCGTTTATAGCCTTATTGTCTCGACCACTACATTTGCACACGTGACCACTTTTTGTTTCTTCCTTATCTTTCGTCCGTCCCAAAATGGAATTCCTGAAATAGTTTGTTGGTATAATCTTCCCTCACACACAAGGCGCAGAGCTCAGTGCGCACTGTAGGTTGCCACAGCAACCGTGTGTCGTCATAGCGACTTAGCCAATCACGCACGCGCACTGCGTTGTAGATTACGATACGAATAACCCTCTGACTTCGATGTTGTAATTGAATCGAATTTTTCTAATGATGCGTAATGCAGGGATGAAACTGAACATTTAGACAAGTTTAGGTTATTTATTTTGTTCTAAAAATAAAAATAATACATTTAAAGGTCTGACTTATTGATACAGACATTTTTTAGTATAATTTCGTGTTGAGGACACTCGCACGCCGGTTGTCTGAGACTGAATTCTGACTGTCTGACATCTTGAAATGTAGATTGTATTGTGTTGTGCAATATCATCTGCCTGCAGAGAGAACAGCTGAAAATAACCTTTAGCTGTTTTGAACTAAATAGTGTACTAAGTTGGTTACTAAAGTTGTTAGCGTGATTACTAAACCAATAGATATCAAATAAATAAATGTTAAATAAAATATCTATCCATCCCTGTCGGCTGTCGGTATCAGCGGAATCGGGCGAAATCGATGTTTGGCAATCGATTCTTGATACCGATATTCCTAGTATCGGCAATGTCCGAGTATCGGTGGTAGCGATAATTGACACTTCCCTATCTAAAACTCATTTTGGAGTCCTAAATTAGTTTTAAATATGAATCGGGACGTAATCGTTGCATCGGGAGTTAACCGCTGCATCGGTCTTTTTCGATGCATCGAGGCCAAATCGATGCATCGTGATTTCGATGCATGCTGAATCGAATCGTGATTCGATGCATCGAATCGAATCGAAATTTTGATGCATTTTCGATGCATCGCACACCCCTACATTTCATGAAGGCGATCTATTAAACATTCTAGTACTAGCAGTTCATTATATTCCGAGTGAGACTTAATGTTAGTTCCTATGATCTCAGTACCACAAAGACATCTGCGGTCTGGTGACAGGAGGGTCTCGGACACAGTTGGCTCGTGGCTTGATCTCGTTCGCTCAGCTCTGGATGGCCTTTGCCAAGACGAGATGTGAGAGAGGTCGAGGCCTCAGGCCTAGATGGGCCAATCATGGGTTGGACTTCATCATGCACATTTGTGAGCCGCATTTCACCAACTGCCTTACTGACGATGAATTTGAGGTAAGACTGCATTTAAAGTAATAGCGTAGTATAAAGTCTGCGATAATAGTTTGTTTGTGAAGTCACACTAATCACATCTCAGGGAGAAGTTTTTAATGAAAGTAATATATTTACTATATTCTAAAATGGAGTACCTACTCTGGTATTTTAGATGTAAAAGAAAGTGAATATTTGTAAAAAAAGAAAATTGAGAACATAAGGATACATTAATACGCTGATGTCTTATTGTCCCAGCCATCTTGGGAAGCAGGTAGTCATAAGATGGTCTTGATTTCTCATTGGTCCTCTTGAGCTGAGTGCCTTACTTACTGATGGGACGTCACAAATCTCAGTAGATTTTTTCCTTGTAGATTAGCCTCAGTCCTCTCCTCTTCTCTATCATCCGCCATCCAAATTCCTCCTCCGCATTGGATCACATCCTTCTTGACTTGGTCATACCATCTTAATTGAGGCCTACCCGACGGACGTCTTCATGTAGGTACGGTCTCACAAACCTCATTTAGTCTTGTACCTTCCTGTCTCCGAAGTACACGACCTAACCAACTAATGGCTTTTTTATAAGCGCTATTATATCAGGCTCTTTGTATAGGGCATATAGCTCTCTATTTTCCTTATGCACCAAACTCCTTATGAGTGAGGTAAAGTGGGGAAATTTAATTAGGCTGATTGGATTAACTGTTTTGTAGGTATTGTGGCAGACTTCTGGTTCTAGAGAAAGAAAGGTTCAAATCAAATTGTCTTTATTTCATTGTGTACATCAGTACATGGAATGGCGTCAAAAACAATATTCTAGAGCATTTTTTTCCTTAGTATTTTTCTGTAAAAATATGTATGTTAAATTTATTTTTCCAAGGTTACCTTTCATTTTTCAGTGTTGAAGCAAAAATACTTTAATAATCAAATCATATAACTTTTAACAGTTGATATGTGTCCTTTTTCATGTAACGGTTTTATGTAGAGAACAATCCAACAATAACTTATCTTATTGATAAGGGCAATAAGCCTTTGACCTAAGCCTATGCTGTGACAATGAATCAGTCAATACTTAGGGTAGCTTTTGGACAGAAATGTTTATCTGAGCCAGTTAATAGTTCTTATATTTCACTTTAATTGATTTAAACTTTAAACTCTTTTAATTTAGGTTTAATGGTCCAAAAGATTTTAGATGGTAAGTTCCTTATGGTTCCTTCTATGAGAGCATATTCAGAAGCTAGTCCTATATTATACTTACGTGTTAATATTTTCTTATAATTTTTACCAGTTAAAAACTTCAAAATAAGTTTTATTTTTGTAATTTTGTTGATCTGATTACACTTCTTTCATCAAATTGTCCACACTATTGATTGAAGGTTAACTTAAACTGTATTTTAGTCAGTTATTTTAGATTATTCCAAACAAAATACTATTTAATACTTATGAATTCAAAATACTCAGTACCTTTAAAAGAACAGTTGTACCTCTTAGTTAAATTTAAAATATTTGAAAAAGAAAACATTAAAAGTGGGACTGTGAAAAGCTATGCACTTTGCTCTTGCTACATCCTGTCTTCTCTCAAAACGTTCTGATGAAGGGAATAAGAATATTTTTAATTTTTTTAAAGTAAGTCTTTGATGTATACTATTCTGAAGTAATGCCAGACATGTAATATTTTCTCTGCAACAAGGGTATATTATTATGGACAGCATAATTTGTGATCAATAAAGTTGAATAAGTCTTTATTGACTTTCAGGAGCTGAAAGCCAACATAGACGACTGCATCTCCCATGTGATCGGCACAGCTGTGGTGGGGGGAGGCAGTACGCCTGGTACGCCGGGGTCTTACTACCGCAGCAGGGGCGTGTCACCATCCCCGTCTATCACCTCGTCACGTCCTCGGCCCACGCGGCTCTCGTCCTCACTGTCCAACCCGAACAGCCCCGAGATACGGAGGTGAGTTGTCTTCAAATATCAAAGTGATTTTTAAATATCCATCACATTTGAAAGCCATCCAATTCTATACTAGTTAAAGTATTTAAGTTTATGAACTAGTATTCTTTCTCTTTGCAGTGAGGCAACCTCCTCCAATGAAGCGACTACCTCAAACGATGACAAGGAACTGAACGGTGCGACAGACGGTGCGGTCGTGGAAACACTTATTTGTCCTAGTCAAAGTAAGTGATTTGAAAAAGTTGTCAGTGACAGTGAAATATTATAATGTTTTGTGTTTTTAGTATAAAGTTGTGTCTTTTGAGCCAGTTTGTACTCTTCACTATTCAGCTAAGCTTGCTATCCTGAAAAATTCTAAAAACCTAGGACCTCGTGCTCTTAACCTCAAACTGAACAACACTATTCCATAGTTTTACTTTTAATCATCCCTCTTTCCTATTCCATTTCACAATGTTTCTCACTAAACATCTGTAGGTTAAAAAAAATATATTTAGTACCTTTATCATTCAAACCGTCCGTCAAATGCTAATTACTGTTGTCAAGAATTATTTTAAGCTTGTTTTGAAGGTTTGATTTTAAAAATATTTTGTACTTAACAAGAATTTTTTAGAGAGTAATACAGTTCAGCTAAATTACCTAAGAAAAATGGATTCCAAGGCTATCAATCAATCAATCAATCAACTTCTTTATTTCATAAAATGTACAGATTGGTACATGAAATTGTGTCAACATAAGTTTTCTTATCTAGATCGCTAAAACTAGGGATTTTACAGTAGTCAAAACAGAATATATATAACAATTAATGACCTTCAAATTGATTTTCCTTTCTTTAAATAATAATAAGTCCAACTGATTAATACATCAAATGCAAATTAAAGTAACAGAAAACAAACATAGAACAAATCAATGGAGGTACTTTAATGTTTTAGTTTTTTAGTGAATTTCAATAATAAAAAAAACATCACAATATAATAAATACACAATAAAAGAACACAAAATATTATAGGCTACTGATATTTTTTCTTGTAGTACTGGTAGGACTTATTTAGGTTGAAGAGAAAGTGATGAAATATCAGTGTTGTGTTTTGTGTTATTTATTGTGTAATTATTAGCCCCTGGTCTCTATTTTTCTCAGATAAGCTCGCTGAACTCTATTCCTTTCCAATAAAATCCTTCCTAGCCTTTTCTTTAAAATATAACCTTTTTTATACAAGCATTTTTAGTAGGTACGTAACTTGATTTCCTTTACAAAATAAATCTAATTTTAGTGTTACAGTAAAAGATTACAGTAGGCCTACGATTTAAAAACCAGATAACGGGATTTAAATAGTTTATTCGTGTTTAAATGTTTTGTGACTGTGTTTTTAAAACTGTGACGTAACATCATGAGTCGAAAAACTTCAGGTTTTGTAAATAAGGATCTGATTATGGTATAACAATATACCGAAACTCGGTATCCTGTTGGATTTTCGAGGACCACTATAGGCAGTCTGCAAGTATTGTAACCTTCTTATTTTGATTTGCATGAAGTGGCCTAGAAAAACAACTACAACATTTAAGTTTTTGTGATTCAAGCAACAAACTTCTCATTTTTTACAGATAATAGAATAGTGAGCACCTTGTAAAGTCTGAAAATTGTTTTGCACCATAATCGTGGTTTACTACATCTTTTATTTTGTTATATATAGAAACTTCACGGAAAGATCGCCTACTTGAGGCTGTCCAAGAATTGGATGAAGTGATAGAAGAGAGGCTTAGAAACGAAAACCTCATCGGAACTGTTGTTGCTGTTAAAAATCACCAGACGGAGACCAACTTTGTTCGTCCTAGAACTGTCACGTTCGGCTGGCAGAGGGGAATAAAAATAGGTAAGATGAATTGAAACTGGTTCATTTCACACCGATGGTAATCGGTGTTCAAATCTAAATTTCAAAAAGTATCTCAACTCCTGATATCTTCTCCGATTTAAACAAACATATCTTCATATTTTGTATGGTCTATCATGGGTTTTTCCCTAACAATATTAAATCTCTTTGTTACTTGGTAGAGCTAATTCGAAGGATTGAATCATAAATTAATTATTTCAATTCTTAGATTCTGAGCCACCGTAGCTTAGATTTGGTTATAGTATGAAGAATGGGAAATCCAACTGGTAAAACCATCAAAGGACCAACTCTAATCTGACGCCTAAGTTACTTGATAGATCGTCTGCCATTCCCCGTTTAACCTCCAACAGAAACATACCCACCTCAGTTTGGATGTGATTTTCAGCATGAGAATAGGTTTTTTTTATGTTTCTTTTCTAGTGTTATTTCCTGAAACAAAATTCCCATTGTTCATAGTGTTTATACCTAAACCATTAATTTTGATTGTGTAGTTAATTTTCAATAATTTGAAATTGGAAGAGTATTACTGGTTTTGCTGATTGTATGTTTGGTTTTTGGGGTATCTTTTCTCCTCGATCTAGAATAACAAATAAAACGTATTCTGCACTTCAGGTCCAAATAAGTTTGGCTACAGTTTTATAAAAATATATTTGTTAAATAAAATTCTAAAGCTAAGGTTTTGAGGTTTTAAGCTAAGATTAAGCTAAGAGCTAAGGTTTTAAGGGAGCATTAGTAGAGGTGGCATGTGTGTAAACATCAGCTGAAGGACGAACCATCATAGCGGAGTGTGGGATAGAATAGGACAAACCTCTCCAGGATGTCCACAACATACCCTGAGCGGGGAACACTTGGGGAAGGCTCCCGTTGAGGTACAGGCCGTTGAGGTTGCTGCGGAAAAACACAATCGCTAGATTAGTCCTCCAACTGTCAAAATGATTGTACGTTGGTCGTTGATTGACATTGCAGTCTTAATTCATGTATTTTAGGGGCTTAGCAATTTTCAAGGCTGTTTGAGATTTATCGTAGCGCTATGGTGATCAAATGATTGTTAGGGCATTTTTTTGCACTAATAGTTCATAGTATTTTATTATTTGAAATTTTACTCCACCTTTTTGAATATGACTAGAATATGAAAAGGTTGTTACACGAATACAAGCTTTGAGAAACAACAGCTTAAAACCACTAATGTGTTCAGTAAATTAAGCTGAAACATAAATAAGATCTCCCAACTTTTTCTACTCAACACTCAATCACAACTAGACAGTCTAAGGCCTCAAGCTAGAAAAGCAGTATATGGTTCAGATTGTTCCTTAAGTTCTTCAGAAGGCGGAGACCCCCATCCCCCTTCTTAACCCTTAACAGTGTTACTAGAGTCCAGCCAACGGAATAGTCAGTAAAGAAACCAAAACTAAAACCCTTAAAAAATGTGTTGATAAAGAAATTTAAAAGAAATGTCTTGTCAATAGGTTAATCTCATCCCTCTACAGCCCCCTTGGAGATAAAAATAAAGTTTAATCTGCGAACATTATTTTTATCAACTGCCTGGAAATCTAGTTAATAACTGTCCCTTCTTCGATGTTCCTAATCCAAGTGTTTTTTCCTCCAAAATGTTGAACAAACATTAATTTTGGCTTTGGAGGGCTCTAAAAGAAATTTAAGTGGCCCTGAGCCTAGTTCTTACTGTGAATACTGCCACATTCGTCCTTATAGATAAAGTTAAATCACTAACCTGATTGGGGAATCCTGGTCCTCACAGTCCCTATGCCACCAGGCACCACTGCGGCCACAACTCACGCCATCATTCATGTCATTGTCCCTGTCCGGGGCGGAGAATTTGAATACGTGGCCACTCAGTGAATCTCCTATAAAAACAAATCCTATTGTAATTCTCCTTTTTAGTTGGCTGATAATTTTTATTAAGTTTTTAATCACCACAAAAAATATTTAAAAGTTCTGTTAATTTTTTTTTAAACATCTACCACTATCTTGCGTTTTTTTTTTTTTGTATCTTGTTCTTGTGTGTTTGTTGCTCTTGAAAACAGTTTTATACACTTCAAAAACAGACTTCATTATATTGTGTTGGTGATTCCTTTTTATTTTAAAGTTTTCTCATTCCTTCCAACTCCAATGATGTTAGTGAACAAAGTTCTTCAGATCCGTAAAAAATCAACTCCCAAACCTTTTTTACATTCTAATTTGTTACATTGTAGGCATTAAGTGGTGAACACAAGTCATAACTGGAACTATTAACTGATGCTAAACAAGAATAGTAGGTTAGGCCCTACAATACTAAAAGCTGATAACAGGCTGGACAATAACTGGACTCTGACAAGATAATTGACGGAGATCGCCAAAGGACTTTTGTTCGCAGACCATTCGTAGATTAAAGTCTACATCGAGTATCAGTCGCGACCAATAAGCCAGTTCAAATCTAAAACAAACAACTTTGTCCTTTACTTTTTTAGCCGATTCCCAACGTCTAAACGATTAATCTTGTAATGGTAGCCGGGAACAGTTTTCATGGAAAATTGACATCCTACCAAGTTTGAATGGTGTTCTGTGATAAGGATTCTGTAGGAAGAGGATCAATCCTTTTAAAAATCCAGTTGCCAGTTGACCCTTGTATCTTTACCTGCAATCTGTGGTACCTGCTGTTTCCTCAGTGTGTTCTTGTAGTTCTGAAATTATTTGGAGTTTGTCTAAGATTACTGTAATGTGTTTTTCCTACAGTCGGGTGACAAAGTGGGCGTAAAACATGTACGCTTGAAAATGAGTTGGCAACACTTAAAGATATTACAACTACAATCAGCTGGTGCAGCGTTTCCCATTTCGTTCAACTGATTATAGTGCAGAAAGCTGATAACTGCTGCATTTACTTACCTAGCCGCACAATTTTTACTTTGTCGCACACCAGTATTCCAACCAAACACAGAGCAGCGTGCTTTTATTAGGCACGTAATACATGTACGCTTGAAAATAAGTTGGCAACACTTAAAGATATTACGACTTCAGCTGGTGCAGCGTTTCCCATTTCGATCAATCAGATTTAACCTAACCTAAAAACATGTTGTACAGTGTTTGAAAGACTAATTATTTATATGCTTTATAGTAACTGTAGGAAAAATATAATGTTTAAAGCGAGTGCAAACTGCCTTTGACCACTAGTTACACAAATATCTATTGTACTGTATAACAATTTAATCTGAACAGCTGATTTAAAAAAAATTTAAACTTATTTCTAAAATCAGCTGTTCCAATTATTAGACAGTACACAATACATTTACCTTACCTGCAGTCCCATGGTAATTGCCGAGTGAAGTGATAGAATAATCTTGCCTAGAGTCGCCCACAGCGAACTGTTGGTAATACGCCCAGGCAGAGTCACCAGCGTGGTCTCTTAGGGTGACTAACAAGTCGTTCATCTATGAACAAAAAAAGATTTTTTCACTTATACAGTTCAGACTGCACACACAAATTTAAGGAGACTCTTAAGACCAGCGTAAGATAAAATTGTCTTATAGTTTTGTTGATGGTGATTTTTCTTAGAAAATTTGAGTCAAATGAATAATTTCAGCTCTGCCTTTGATTATTTAATGAGTTATTATGAATATCAACAATTTAAATGTGCTCAATGCAGAAAATTCCACATTCCCATAAAACCTCTCATTGCTTTCAATTGAAACTCACCCCTTTATCAACCAAGTATCCTGTGCTTATTAAGAACGCAAATTCACCCAGGTTATAAGGTAAAGCGTGTAACCGGAATAGTTAAGACATGTAAATGTACTGTTATTTTATTCACCCTGGCATTAGTGATGAGATGGAGCTTTTCTAATCCAAGCCAGAACTCCTTAGTAGCCAAGTTCCCGAATCCTTTTTCAAATTCTCGCCAAGTTCTCATGAAGTCAGTAGAGCCATCCTCTCGCATTTGGAAAACCTAACAAACGTTATGCAATACTTGTTTTACGTTCAATAGTTTTTGGGCATGTAAACAAAAATGGTATTTTATATGTTTTGGAATGGAATAGTATGATCTCTGATCTTTTTACTATCAAACGTCGACATTTTGTCAGGACCACTTAAATTATTTAGTCATTTCATTGTGGATACTGAATACACAATTGATTCTACCCTGGCTCAAACAACAAACCATCACATTTAAAGGCAATTGCCAGAAAATAGTTTAATGGGAAAAATGCCATCTGTTGGAAATGAATGGTAATAAATAATAGTACTATACTTTATAGTATACTATACTTTATAATAGTGCAATACTTTATATTGTCAGAGTGATCCCTAGTAGTCTGTTGGCTACTGCAGTTCGTTCCCAATGTGAACTCCATCAGGCTGTCAAGGACATCAAATTTCGTTCCAGAGGAAGTTAAAGTTCAAATCCATCGATGTAACACATATAATTACATACAAACGGAAAGACGAACAATAGATAAACGATAAACATTACAAAAACCCCGGTACCGGGAAATACGATACGCACAGAGGGCAGGTCTAGACTTCTGCGTTATCTTGAAGTGTATTTCCTCCCCCTCCTCCTTCCTTATCATGAGTTAACCATTGTTTTGGTTGCGACTCGCCTATTCTTATTGCCATGAAGAAATGAACATGATTATGAACATGAAGATATGAATTAATAAATAATCAAATTTGAAAAATCCTTTTTGTAGGTATACATACTGTTTAATTATTGTTTACAACTCAAAGCTGGTGAAGCGTAAAATAAAATGGGATCTGTACGGTATTATCTCTTAGCCAACTCTGGATCAACTACTGCTCGGACTAACCGCCTCTGAATCAACCACTGATCAAATTTACTAGTTCTTCCAGGAAAAATAAAGGTCTGTTAATCCACAATGGATAATACTGGGTGGTTTAACTGAAATTTTGCTGTAATCTAGTGACTACCATTCCCATTCCAATAACAGTAATAAAATATAATTTTGTCCTTGCATGTTTGGTTTTGTTTTGAACCACATAAAAAAATTAAAAGCGAATTAAATTACTGACTTAAATAAGTTTTTTTTTTTACGTAGTTGCCTGTATTTAACCAACCTTTAAAGTTCCGCAACCTAGGGTCAGTTTAGAGATGGTGTACACTGTTAAAAATTGAAAAACAAATTTATTTGTAACTAGATAAATATAAGTAACTCTTTTCTTAACATTTACTCTTTTTCAAAGTGAACTTTAAACTGCAGAAAAAGTTAACGCTTACAGTCCATCCGCCGCCGAGTGTTTCCATGTCACACAGTGCCAGGAAGGGCTGATGGTAGGGGGACGGCTGTATCAGATGTACACCACTGTGGTTGTTGCCCTGACGTAGGATATCCCAGCAGTCACGGGGCTGTCCCGACGTCAAGTTAGACATCAGTGGTGGAGCGGGAGGTGGAGGGGAGGGACAAGGCTCTCGAGGTTTAGCCTCCATCAAGGTCAAGAGTAAGCTGAATCAAACAAAAATAAATTAAAATAGCCTAGATGATCACTACTAGTCAAAACTCTGACTTTACACATATCCTTAAACATACTATCAACATACTATAGGACAGGATTGATTTTTTTTTAGGGTATAGTAGGGTTACATTTCCCTCCTGATTTTCAAGACGGGAATGGAACAGGATTTTTCTTCCTGTGAAACAAGGATAACTTGGGTTTTTATAATTATGGGTAAATATTTTTGTAAATCGCAGGAATGGCAAACATAATCCATTTTTAGTCTTTTTGCCCTTTTGTTTGTCATAATGACTGTAATCTGTGATAACAAATCGACGAATTCGTCAACATCTTATGTGATCACAGCGAGTTTATGAATATCTCCCCCAATTGGAGGACATCATCATCGTCAACCACCCTAGCAGCGAAACCCTCAACATCTTATGCGATCGGAGTTTTTTTTTAGGTATATTAATTTTTGAAAATGCCTTTAAAATGTGTGACAAAATGTTTTACTTAACAAACATGTGAAAATAATTAAAAAAATAACTTTTTTTTAAAGTTTTTTTCAAGCCCTTGGTAAAGCAATAAAGTAGACTTTGACTTCAGGTCCATACAAATTCTTTCCGAACAAAACATAACTTCACAAAAAATAGCTTCTCTGAACTAACTAAACTAAACTTGAAAACAACGCTGTCATGTGATATGCAAAAATAAATTATGCATAGCCAAAATTACAAAGAAGCTATCTCAACTGTTCAAGGACCATGTTTTCCCCTTGTATCGGAGGGACTTACCAAGTACAGTGAAATAAAGTTTTCAATGTTGTGAAATAATGTTGTTCAAAGGTTTATTGCGGACATTTTCCATCACGAAAGTAAAAAACAATACACAACGTTTCGGGATCTGGAATCTGATCCCGTCTTCAGGTGAAAAAACTTAACTAACACATTACAACTAACAATACACAAACGCCCAACCTAAGTTGGAATACACTACCGAGGGTAGTAGTCAAAAAATATGCACTGTATAGCAGTCAAGTCATGATACAACATGCAATTAATAACAAATCACAAAACACTATAATCTATAAAAGGTTTACGTACAAAAAACTCACACAATGGAACACTAACAACACCGTACGCTATGACTCCACCAATGAAACTGAACCAACATGGCTGATCAATCGGAAACACGGAGACAACAGAAATGGCTTCCGGTCCCTGGAAAAGTAAAACCAACAGAATGGCGGAGCGATGTACGATGCCGCAAGATGGGTGTTAATTATGTTTATTCCTATCACGAGTTGGTTGTGTATTGTTTTTTACTTTCGTGATGGAGAATGTCCGCAATAAACCTTTGAACAACATTAACTCACCATCACCAACAATGAACTTCAAACAAAGAATTGTGAAATAATGTTTTCATGTTTTGAAATATGTTGTTCCCAAGAACAGCTTTACTAAATTAAAATACTTCAGTTGGTCTATACAATATGGTGGAAATCAAGAAAAACCGGATTGAACTTATCAAGTTTTCCCCTTCAGTTTTTCAAAGGTTACATTACAAATTAATAACTGAAGTTGGATTTAATTGCCGATAATTACCTAGTGTTGAGAGCGACAGCTTTGTTACTGGCTGTAACTGTTCGTCCAAGGTCTTGAATCTGGTTACTAACTCTGCGTAGCATCAGGTTTATTTGGTTCACTTTATTTTCTATCTCCAACAGTCGTTCTTGCTGTTTTGTTTCTACAAAATAATTCATATATATACTATTTTTTAATGCTTAACAAATAGCTTTATTTAAACAACTAGTCTCAGGCTAGTAGATCTTACCCATTCAACACTTATACTTGGCTTAGTAAATTTAAGATGGTTCGACTGACAATCAACCTAAGCCGAGTGGTCATGTTATCATTATAATATGTACTGATATATAATTAAGGTGTGAACCTACCGGTAGCTCTGCTGTAATCCCATGCCTGGCGTAAGGTGTTGACATCTTGACGAAGGCTGTCCACAGCCTCCCCTACTGCCCCTCCCCCCCACTCCAGGTCTCTCATCTCCTGCTGCAGAGTTGCCAACTTGACCATGACTCTCTCCCCTCCATCTCCCTCATTCTGGGTTACCCTGATGTGATATACAAAATAGGTGCTAGTATCTCATATGCTCTATTTTGTGTACAATAAAAAAATGTGCTCTTTTTAAACCCTTTGAACTCCAATGGCTTGTATATCAGATGCTAGACATACGTAGCGTTAGGCCAACCTAAAGTCAATGCTAGTACACTATCTATGGACTCGTTAACCCTATCTATGCAAGTACAGTAGAACTTTGACTATCCAAATCAATTTGTACCGAACCACAGTAAGAAAAAGAAACCATTGCATATAAGCTGCAACGTCACAAATTCCCTCCCTCTGTACATTCAAACCCTATCAGAAAAAAAAAACTGAAACAGGATCTTTGGTTTCTAGTAAATCGATAAGCAAACTCATTCCTCTAACGAATGTTATCTAAGTTAGATTAAGACTACCTCTGTTGTATGTTCTGCAGCAGTTGTATCTGTCTGGCTTGGTTGACCAGGATAGTGTTACATTCGTAGTTTTGCCCCTGTATTGTGTCAGGAGTCGTGGTTGTGTTGGCTCGTGTCCCAGTAAATATGTCCTGTAACGGAAGTAAAAGGTTTGATACACAATGCTTCTATAACGTTGATTTCACATAACATGGTAAAACTAGTGCACCTGTTGCTCGAATTTGAGCAATTGCAAAGTATTACGGGCGTTATTTCAAAACGATTAACATAATTTCCGATGACTTAAAAGAGTCAACCCAAAGATCATGTAATCAATCGCTTCACTCCAGTTATCGAAACTGAAAACGAACGCTCTTGTGTTTACTATGAACAGCTGTAATTAATACAAATTATTCCTTCGTTTAAGTAAACAAAATCTTTTATCCATAAGAAATACATTGGGATTTTGATGGCCTGTGGGGCAAAGTCCTAGGACTTTTATTACAGGAATTGGTGAAAGGGGGCATCTACACCAAACAATACTTCGTTTTGACACATCGTTTGTAAAAATCCGTCCATTATTAACGGAGGAGTAGTGTTTTGTAGAAATCGCCTTCACATATATAAGGATGGTATAAGTGAAAGTTTACCTAAATCTAAGCCATTCAAAGTTTCATATTTATAAACATTATTAAATGTATTTCAGCAAAACAGATTAGCTAACCCTGTGGTAGAAGTGTTCCTATACTGACTACTGACACGAACATGCTGACTTTTACACAAGTAGACCTAGCTGAATTTAGAATATGAGTTATACTTGTAGATGTTCAGCACAAAAGATGTAGATGTAGACAAGAGTTAACAAGCTAAATCAGATCGTTTTGCATTTTGAATAACTTAGCTTTTTAGTAAAATAATGCCTAAACTGATTAATTTAAACGCTTAATAGTTAAAGAGAACATAATACACCTTCATAGGGTTTTTCTTAGCTTATGCGTTAAATTTAGCTATTTTCGGTAATCCAAAATTTACAGTAATCCGACTATTCTGGTTCCATTAGAGTACACTATACTAAAGTTTGGTACTTAGAACTGCTATTGTATTGTATGGGGAACTATTAAAGTAACACTTTACCAGGAGAAGCAAAATGAATATAAACTCTTGCAGGGATACCATTCTAAACCAGACTATTGGAATAAGCCTATACACAAGAGTGTCTGTTAAACTTATCTCGGTAATTAACCATCAATTTTGATACTTAAACTCCTCTGTGACATTGGAAGTGTTGTAATTATGTCTTAAATCTTATCAACTTGAATAATAATTTGTTTCTATTTTTTTTTTTATAAAGGAAATAATTATATTTATTAATTGATTTTTTACTATTATTTACTATCTGTTACCGTAGGTCTCATGGTAACACCTAGACCATTGACCGATTTATTTTGTTTTGTTATCCTCAGAGGCAAAACACTATCCATTCAAATTCATATATATAAATTTATGTGTGTATGTCGGTTAGCACAATAACTCAAAAATGGCTGAATGTGTAAACTTACGTTTAATTCTAAGAAGTTTGCAAATCACCAAGATCGGACTAAGGAAACATAGTTTTTTGGGGGCTTTATGAAGTAAAAATTGGGTTTTCCCAATTTTGACCCTCAAAACATGAAATCTCTTCTACAACTTTCGACAACTTTTTGTTGGGTGTAAAAGACAAATTATATAGTACACTGAAGTGCATTGTACGCTTAGTGGTCAAAGAGAAAATTTCATAAACCAATAGTTTTAAAATTTAACAAAAAGTTGTCTCCAGTATATTGCTTGTTTTCACATCAGCGGATTTCCCGCAGGTCAAGGAAGGTTCGGCAAGGTCTACACAGCCGTCAACAACGAGACGGGAGAATTAATGGCTATGAAGGAGATTGCATTGCAACCCAACGACCACCGGACCATCAGAAACGTGGCCACCGAGCTACGAATCTTTGAGGGCATCCATCATGAAAACCTCGTCAGATACTACGGCATTGAGATACACAGAGTAAGTAAATTATATCAGTTTAAAAAATATAACTTTTGCACTTATTGAAATTTATTGTTTGTGATGGTGGGATAATGATTTCTAATAAATTATTGGAGGCATTAGAACCTTGTGTGTGAAAATGTTTTGAATAATGCTTTTAATGTCCTGGTATGTGATGTTTATTATCTGTCCATATTCAAGATTAATCAGTGTGGCAGATTGCGTGTAATAAATATAAAGGTTACTTACAGTCTTCGCAATCCTGTTAATTGAGCACTACGGCCGTTTCGGAGATAACTCCATCGTCGGGTGCGTAGTCATTATACACTAATCTGAGCTATTTACATTTTTTACGTGGTTTCTTCATTTTCATTGCGTCAAATTTTAATAAATAGTACATACAACACAAAACACGAACACGACACGAAAACATTAAGGCACGTGCACGGCTAAAAACTGACGACCGACTGATCGAACTTTATCACTGCAAAGGTTTGGTGGACGACTGGAACAGCTGATAACACGTGTACCAACATAGCTGCTCAAATTATACCTTGTCCTGTTTGATTTGTATTATTTTCTCAAAAATTGGATTGGCTGCTGAATTAGTCTGGGAATTAATTATTAAGTTCGGTTCTTTAGCTGTACTGGTGTAAATGTGGAAATTTTCAATACAATTAAGTTTGTGACCTTTGCTACCAATGTGGAGTATTTCTAAACTATTAATTTCAGAGTAGTCGTGGCAATACTGTTGGATGTGTTCTGCATAATTTGAGACAGGATTTGGTTTCTTGATAGCACTTATATGTTCTTTATATCTGGTCTTAAAACATCTACCAGTTTGTCCGATATAGTAGGAATCACATTCTCCGCATTTAAGCTTATACACGCCCGACTTCTCTAGTATAGGCGTAGTATCCCTTTGTCGTGGAGCTGACAACTTACGTTGAAGGTTGTTGCTAGTTCTGTATGCAACTGAATAGTTATGCCTACTAAAAGGACGAGTTGCTAAACGTTGGTTGAGTTTACAGAACTCTAGTGTCACGTACTTTTTACTACAATTCAATGCTCTACAGATTGATTAACATACCTTTAAGTGAAGAAAATTATAGAAATGAACTTAACACAATAAAATACATTGCCTTGAATAACGGTTACAGCTATGACATGATTGATAAACTGCACAGGAGAATCAAGAGTAAAGCTAATAATAAAATTGCCAAAGAAAAAACTGATAAAAAGTACGTGACACTAGAGTTCTGTAAACTCAACCAACGTTTAGCAACTCGTCCTTTTAGTAGGCATAACTATTCAGTTGCATACAGAACTAGCAACAACCTTCAACGTAAGTTGTCAGCTCCACGACAAAGGGATACTACGCCTATACTAGAGAAGTCGGGCGTGTATAAGCTTAAATGCGGAGAATGTGATTCCTACTATATCGGACAGACTGGTAGATGTTTTAAGACCAGATATAAAGAACATATAAGTGCTATCAAGAAACCAAATCCTGTCTCAAATTATGCAGAACACATCCAACAGTATTGCCACGACTACTCTGAAATTAATAGTTTAGAAATACTCCACATTGGTAGCAAAGGTCACAAACTTAATTGTATTGAAAATTTCCACATTTACACCAGTACAGCTAAAGAACCGAACTTAATAATTAATTCCCAGACTAATTCAGCAGCCAATCCAATTTTTGAGAAAATAATACAAATCAAACAGGACAAGGTATAATTTGAGCAGCTATGTTGGTACACGTGTTATCAGCTGTTCCAGTCGTCCACCAAACCTTTGCAGTGATAAAGTTCGATCAGTCGGTCGTCAGTTTTTAGCCGTGCACGTGCCTTAATGTTTTCGTGTCGTGTTCGTGTTTTGTGTTGTATGTACTATTTATTAAACTTTGACGCAATGAAAATGAAGAAACCACGTAAAAAATGTAAATATGTAAATAGCTCAGATTAGTGTATAATGACTACGCACCCGACGATGGAGTTATCTCCGAAACGGCCGTAGTGCTCAATTAACAGGATTGCGAAGACTGTAAGTAACCTTTATATTTATGTTTATTATCTTATGTTGATTTATCTTTTGTAATTATTTGTTTGCATTTCAATGTTTATGTATTTCAGCCATAGCTGGGCTAGGTACCTTATTAATCTATCAAACAATGGATTCCCCACAATAATTGCAAGCTTATAATCAACGAATGTTGTAGGAGGAGATGTTGATCTTCATGGAACTGTGTACGGAAGGTACTCTAGAATCACTGGTGGCCGCTACGGAAAGTGGACTACCAGAGACTCTTGTACGTAGATATACACTGCAGCTGTCCAGGGCTGTAGGTACTTTACACCAGCATTCTATAGTGCATCGCGACATTAAAAGTAAGTATGATTTAGCTAAGCTTTCTTTGTTTTTGCAATTTAATTTGAAATACAGTAGAGTGTCGCTATTCTGAACCTTGCTATTTTGAAAATCCGCCTGTAGTAGAACCCCTCATATCTGACCTCGGAATAACCGACTCCTCGGGATATCGGACCTAGTGTCCAACCTTCTTTCTTGTCTGGGGCCGAGAGCGATCAGTTAACCGAAGACCGATGACGGGTGTTGCCGCCGTTACGATTACCAATGCCGGGGAGACTGCAAGTTACGCTCACGGGTGTTGTCTTGGTCGCATTTGACGATTACCGATGTCGCGGAGACTGCAGGTTATGATTCTCCCGATATCCGACCTTAAGGTCATTCCGACCATAGCCCCGTGCCGTCATGGTCAGATATGAGGGGTTCTCCCTTATTTCGAACTAACATTTGGAAGACAATAATAGATTTTACTTACCTCTGTCAAATAGTCCAACAAAGCTTGCAAATCGTCAAAATCACAATTAAAATAAGCACAACATAAACATGGTACATATGTATGCACAAACATTCAGATAGCGCTATAGTGATAATACTGATTAAGTCCAGTGCGGCGCGTTGGTAGCAGACACCAATCAACCCTAGCTACCAACCTATCATCGTCTTCTGTGATTGCCACGATATTAATAGACATTGTTATTATATACGGCATACGCTGTAACATTGTATTGAACGAGTGAAATCAAAAATTTCAAAAATTTTACTTACTTACTCCCAGGGCCATTTATATCGGAGGTGTTATTTGGCCGCACCAACAAATCTTCGCCAAGTTAACCGGTCTTTCGCATCATCCTCCGTTGCCCCAATTCTCTCCAAATCTTCTTGCACTTGCTTCCACCACCTCTGCTTAGGTCTTCCCCAAGGTAGGGTAAATTTAGGGTAAATTTTAACAAACATAAAATCGTAACTCAGATGAAAATGTAGTAGTCAAAAGTGTCATTATTTCAAAGTACAGAGGAAATGCTTCGTAACCTTGTAACATTCAAAATTGGATTGTTCCTAATATTTTTGTTCGATAATATATCTTACAACTTTAATCATACTCCTAGTTTATCATTTATTTTGTAAGCAGATCTTACATTTTATTTCTTCTTCTCATAATTTGAGTTATGTCATTTTCCAGGTGCCAATATATTTTTGACAGCTGAGGGTAACTGTTTGAAGTTGGGTGATTTTGGTTCTGCTGTCAAAATCAAGGCTCACACAACAGTGCCTGGAGAACTTCAAGGATTTGTCGGAACTCAAGGTAATTTGGTATTTCGCTGATAACAATATAACTACATAAGAATATTACGACTCCCACATAAAGCTGTTGCTTAATACATAGCAAGAAATACAAAAAGTATTTTTTTCTCAAATTAAAAATTCCCATTAGCGCGCTACATCGATCTCAACTTTCTATGTTTCCTTCTGTCGCTATTTATTCCTTTAAATACAACATTACTAGGTTAATTCTATGCTCAATAATCTCCCTATACTGTTTTTATTTTTTTGGTCAACTATAATTTTTTTGTTATCTACTCCATAAAAAATACTGTTAAAATGTATTCTACGTTTTCTTGAGATATATAGACTTTTGTTCAGTAAAGTTTGATGTTGTTGCAGCGTACATGGCTCCAGAAGTGTTTATGAAGTCCAACTCCGACGGACATGGTAGAGCAGTAGACATATGGTCACTCGGATGTGTATTGGTTGAAATGGCCTCTGGCAAGGTGAACAATATTTAAGTTAAATATTTTAATTCTTTAAACTCCATTTATTTAGTGATATCAAGCCTACTTCCGTCATGCTTTCCTTTTAACTTTTGAAGTAAGAAGTAAACTGTGTTTACTTGTTAGGATATTTTTGTTTGAATTTATCTGATGGTAGATTTTACGTAACATCTTGGCTATTTCTTTTAAAGTCTTAAGATGTATCACAATAATACCTTTCAGAGTCGTCATCTTTTACATCTGTCCTTATCTCGCACGCGGCGGGAGATTTGAAATTTCAAATAATTTTTAAAACACACCGTGATTTATACATGTCAGCTACTGAGCTGCAAATGGTGTTATTCTGTTCACAAATGACGCTAGTAAGTGGCGAGCAGGCTCGTACAAGCAAACTACGAATTCATACGCAAAAAAAGCCCTTATTTAAAAAACTGCTCTTGTTTCTATGAATTTTAACGGATGATGTTTTTGGCGTCTGGGGACATCCACAAAGTGATGTCTGATTTAACCACAAAGTAAATCAGATTCTTAACTTGCTGGTCTGTCTTACATATGTATGGATGTAATAGTAATAGCTTATTCCCCTAATGGGAAATTCGCTAAAGTGTAGAGAAATGGACAATTGAAGGAATCAGTTGGTTTATCAAAATATAAAGTAACTCTGTATTTCAATGTTACAGAGGCCTTGGGCGGAGTTTGACTCCAACTACCAGATCATGTTCAAGGTGGGGATGGGAGAGTCACCCGAGATCCCAGACGGCCTAAGCGAGGAAGGGCGACACTTTGCGTCTCGATGTTTGGTTCACGACCCAAAACAGCGAGCTACCGTGGGGGAGTTGCTGTCTCACACGTTCCTAGCTGTAAGAAACTTGTCTTTTGGTCATTTAAGGTTCTGGAGGTTCACTAAACAGCCTTCTCCTTTATTTTATCGCTCTACTTAACCATGTGACTTGCTGCATTTTTCGTTATGGTTCTTTTATTATCCTGTTTGATTTAAGTTTAAATTCAAGTTAAATTTTCATGCATATGAACTTTGAACCATGAAATGAAGATCATTCCTTCAGTTATATTCTGGTTGATCCCTTGGTCAGTCATAACAAAAATTTTTTATGGCGTCAAAAAAATTGTATTTAAAATTATGTTTTACAGGTGGATGGTGAAGATGAATGCATTTCTTGCACGATGCCTTCAATTTTAGAAGATTACCTCAAACTAGGAATTAAGAGATAGATTGTATGTAAGTATAAGTTAATTTAATACTGAATGCAGACAAGTTTTAAGTATAACAATACAAAATATACTTGTTTATACTTAAGGTAGCCAGCAGCTATTTCTTTACTTTACTTTACTTTTCTTTTTTTTCAATGAAATGGTGACCATACAAAGTAGGTATTTTAAGACAAGTATGAATGGAGATGAGTGTAGGATGAGTGGCGTGATCTTGTAGTCTTGTTAGTGACTTCTGTAGTGTACCATATTGTGACCTTTCACTTTAGTATAATAAGAAAGTTGTGAGTCAATAATTCTTTTTTTCCTTCAATTTACGCTCTTAAGAAGCTCCATATTATGACAAAATATCAGTATTAGCTTTGACTATTGATACAACTAGACATTCCATCCCCATGTTAAAGTTGCCGCCAGTTTTTAAACTAGAACCTTCGTAATTTATGTGAGCCACCGACAGGTTGTGCTGATATACATTACTGATTTCTTCCACAGCTATAGCAACTGTTATGACTCATCGAATAGCTATATCAGCAACAAAAATGAGAAATTTTAATTTTAGCGCATTCTGTGACTGGCTCACAAAAGTATATATTTTTTTTAAACAATATTTCAAATCAAATCAAATCAAAAATTCTTTATTCATATTGTATATACATACATGAATAGTGTCAGACTATAACTAATTTGTATGCATTTTGATTTCGATTTACAGACAATAGCTGGTCCATATAGTTGGGATGTCTAACTTCAACATAGTCGATACGCCTTGAGTCGATCCTAATAGTCCCTAGACTCAATTTTTCTCAGGCAAGCTAGGAACTCAACCCCTTTTCACAACAATTCTTAAATCAAATTCTATGTGTTACATTACACAAATAGTAAGTGATATAAATAACATAATGATAATACTGTATTTACACGTTTTTACTTTTAAGTGGCTTGGTTTCTCAACTTTATTTTTGTGTTTGCAGATTTTGACTCCAGTGCTCTTTGCTGGTTTGGAAAGACCGAAAGTCAAAAAGGCTGTTGGTGTTGTGGCTAGTACAATACGAGGATATTTATTACTGTTTATTAGTCTATGATTCTGTATGCTTATGTCATTGACTTTGGATTCTGCTGGTAATCCTATTTTATTGATAAATCCAAAGCCTGTTTTGATGTTTATTCATGTCCAGTTACATTTGAGTGTGCTGATCTTGATTGAATGGTTGTTTCTTCATTTGGTAATTTTTACCGTTTGGGCCTTACTCTTTTGTTAAAATATCAGTGGACTAAAAGTAATAATTAAATACCAATAGGTCAATTAGAAACGTTGAAGCTCAAAGGTTTTTTTCATCCTAGGGACACTTGGCTCTAGACCAGAACTGTTTTACACATTACTTCATGCTAGTCCTAGAGGGTCATGGCATTATCACTTAGATAAAATCCATTGGTGATTGGTGGGATTTGAACCCAGGACCTCGGGGACCGAAGTCTTGCGCTCTACCACACTTCCCCCCAAGAGCTCAAAGGGTTAGCAACATGTTGTTAACTATGGTAATGCACAATTTCTTTCTGGGTCATATTTGCCTAAATATTTTTATAATACTATTTATGCCATTGAAAATGCCTCTAGTTGTACTTAAAATGCAGGTATTTGAAGACTACAAAGTATTTTTCGTCATACTGCAACAAAAACAGCCGTTTTTAATACATGCGGATCTAAAGTAGCAAAGTCAGCTGTTGTAAACAGTTGCAAAAATTAATTCGAGAGGTTAAAATACCTTTAATTCGTCAGAGTGATCGACGTCACCGATGAGCGGCGACCGGTTTCAACCCAGCAATGGGGTCATCTTCAGGCGAGAAAGGGGTCTTAAGGGTTGATCGGTGACGTTGATTACACTGACGGATTAAAGGTATTTTTAACCTCTAGTATTAATTGTCCTTACATAAAAACTATTTTTGTTTTTGAGCTTTGTTGTTAATGATGCAGTATGACAAAAAATATAGTTCAACACACGGGCAAAAAGTGTTTTTTCAGAAACTTGAGCTTGGGTTGTAAAGAATCACTTTATGCCTTAGTGATGAAATATACTATTTACACCCTGTCAGTTGTGTACTACAATGACATTCCTCCAAAATGATTATTTTTTACTGTGATCAAAGTGCTTAGAAGTTTTGACTGATTAGTGTTAAAGATTTAAAAGTAGAAGTTATATTTTATAGTTCAGGTGTTGGTCGGTCATAAATTTTACACAAATGGAAATATACGTTAAGTTTTATAGTTAAGGTATGTTTATTTTTTATATGTTGTAAAATGTTCTCATCGTTGTTGGTAATATTGTTTGTATAAATACTTTTCTGTAGTAAATATATATTTGTTGAACTGATATATTAAATGTTTTGTATGATTACTTGTTTGGTTTCTTTTTTCCTATCTGAATAAATAAATATTTGAATAGTTATTGCTTCTTGAACATTTAATAGTGTAAAAATATAGTGTTGTTATAAAACTGGTAATAGTGTCAAAATTACACCAAAATGAACTAAAAATCCTTTAAAACTAAAAGATCTAATAAAATACATCGAAGCCCCCCCCCCCCATCCCCGTCTAATTACAGACCAATTATTTTTTGTCTCGGCTGGTTTTTTCGAGAGGTGTAAGTACAATAGTACATATTATAATAGGTTACGTACCTTGGTCCGTCTTCAGTCTTATTTTAGTCAATGGATGACTAGTTTCGGGTACAAAGACCCATTGTCAAATCCTTTTTCAAAACATCATGTAGAAGCTGGTCAAAAATCCGACGGAAGTCTTCATCATTATATAAATACAGGTTAACACATAAAGTTTATTATTTAAAAAACACAAGTTACGGAACATATAAGACGATTGATAGGCCGACCACATTTAACACGGACAAACCGACGCCGCGTAACCTGCGTGTAAACTCCCACCACCTTTATAGATCCTAGGACGTAGACTCTAGCCCGGAAAGTTATATATGTACAGGTACATTACTTAATGCTAGGCCTAGAGTGTGGCGTTATTATCAATTTAATATTTAAAATCTATTGGTGATTTTTGGTATCAGGGGCCCATTTCATAATAAACTACAAGTTACAAGTTACAACTTGTAACTTGTAATTTCCATAAGATTTGCATTGGGCGATCAGCTGATTTACTAATAATATTAGTTTGTACTTTATTATGAAATGGGCCCCAGGAGTATGTTTTATCTATTTTATCTATTTTACCTTTGCATGGTTTGCTGTTTTGATTTGCAGTTTTGTTTGGTTTGTTTTCCTTTTTATATTTAGTTTTATTGAATTTTTATTGTACTTTGACGTAGCCTATTGTACAAACTTAATGGCCTAATAAAATCTTTGAATCTATGACGGTATTTCAACCCGGGACCAGGGAACCGAAGTCCTGCTCCTCTACCTCTAGGCCAGATTGATCCCCCCTCCCAATAATGGTACTTAAGTTGGACCCACTGAAGTGTTGGGTAAGTAAAAAATAAAACATAAAAAGTGGTTTGGGCTGGAGCGTAGCTATAAATGAAGTAGAGATTCAAGAGACCATTCAGTAATAAATACAATATTCGCTGCAGACTATTTCCATTTGCCTGATTGGATTTACACTAAAATATCTCCTTAAAAATATCACATTTATTCCCTATTTAAATAGAATCAGTTTAACACATACTGTACTTAGGTTTGCTGCAACAGGGAGGGTAAAAGTGTTTTTTTATGTAAAATGTTAACAGCTAGTAAGAAACAAAAACATTTTCCAAATTTGGGCAAAACATGTTAATAAACAAGCAAACTACAACAGTTTACTTATTCTCCATAAGAATAACATGAGAATTTAAAATTTAAAATTTTTTTGAATTTTCTCCGTAACCATTAGGCGCATTATAACGCTTAAATATACTAAATTATTTGTTTTTTTAAGCTCTACAAAATTATTTGGAAAGAAATTGCAAAATTTTATGTTTTTTGGGTCAAAAATGGGAAAAACCCATTTTTACCCCATAAACCCCCGTTCCCATGGTTCGATCATGCTGGTTCGCAAACTCGTTTGAATAAACGTAGGTTTACACGTTTGTACCAAATTTCATCAAAATCGGATCATTTTTGCTCGAGTTATCGCGCTAACGGACACATATATATATAATATATATATGAATTCGAACGGATGGTGTTTTTGGCCCGGTAATAGCTTATTCCCTATATGGGAAATTCGCTAATATATATATATATATGTGTAAGTCTATATATATATATATGCATATATAAAAATTTGAACGAATAGTGTTTTTGGCCTCTGGGGACATCAAAATGAAAAAGTAAATCGGTCCCGGGTCTAGGTCTTACCGTGCCACCTACGGTAATAGCTACTTCCCTATAGGGAAATTCGCTAATAGTCAATTAGTGTTTTTATATTCTATGATTCGAGCATACGAGGATTCCCGTTTGCCTGTCTTAGCGAAGAAAGAAAGCTCTAGAATTTAGAATGTCAAAGCCAATCAAGGAGAAGGAATCAAGTGATCACATGACGCAGTGGCGAAACGAAACGTCAAACGCTGACGTCAGCAGTGTTTCCATTTGAGGGATAAAAATCCCTTTCTAGGGATATTTAGGGCCTTCGAGGGATTGAGGGATAACTAGGGATAATCAGCGAAATTGAAGGATTTTTGAGATTTTCTAGGGATTTCAGGCCTTTGACATTATAAAATTGAAATATTGATAAAATAATACATTATGGCTGTATTGTAACAACGTTAAGGACCTATTTTGGCTAATTTTGCAAGGTACTGATAACACATTGTTTATACTACTTTTTCCCTAGGTTTTGGTAACAAATCGATTGTAGCATAGATCTTTTTAATAGCCTTGGATCTAGATTACTGTATTTGTTTCTTAGTAGCCCTGTGCCCTGTGTCAATGTCGAATGTTTGTTTTTGTTTTGATTTTGTTTGCCGGTGGTTTCTGTGATGTCTGTGATGTTCTTTGGTTAGTAAGTAACTTATGGTGTAGCCTTTTCACCAAGTTATATGGTGGCCATGTTTGAAAAAGACTATTAAGATTAAAATTTTGACACTTAAATAATATTTTTGAAACAATTGTATACCAATTAATCTTGTTTTGTACCACATAGACAGTTTTTAATCACGGCTACCTTTAATTCCAGGCCGGAGGCCGCGGCCTTCGAAGTGGAAACGTTGCAAGTATAGTGTTGTAAAAGGTGTTTGTTTGGAGAACGCTAAGCTAATGATATTTATTTTTTTTTAAGAATACGAAAGCTTGGTTACTGAGCTATGAAAATGTTGACTTCGACATTGAATGTACAGAAATAGAGTATCAATTTATATTGTTTTGGTTTTCGATTCTATATTATGTTTTATTTCCATGTTAACTTATGGGACGTCTTGCGCTAAACAATGCCTACTACGGTACTTGCAACGTTGCCAATTCTACCAGGCCGCGGCCTGCCTGGAGTTAAAGATGGCCGTGGTTTTAATAGTACAAAAATGTTTTTTATATAGTATAACTTTATAAATAATATGGGATATTGAAGAATAATATCACCAGTTACCATATTTTAGGTGGTTATACATGATATCCATTGGTATTGCTGCAAAAATAATAAATTATCTAGATTTGATATAGAGGGATAATTGGAGGGATTATTAGAACACGGACTAGGGATAACTAGGGATTTTTTTACGTTGGCCCGGGGATATTTTTTTCTTGCGGATGGAAACACTGGACGTCAGTTGTCAGTTAGCAAGCAGAAACAGCAACAACGAACAGAGTGAAGGAAGTGAACAAGGGGAAGCAATTATTAATTGTTTAGTTAGTCGATTGTCTAACCTACCAAACCACAGTTCAAAGTTCAATTCACAGGCATATTATTACTAGTTACTACTTGACCGCTAGGTTATCTGGATTGTAGTTGAAGACAGATTTGCGTCATTCTGCTCTATCTCGCTCAAGTCATTATTAGGTCAGATCCTCGTGATAATTATTTTTCAAATCAAGAAGGATATTAATCCGTCTTCGCATTGTCTCAGTCTCTCTTTCCAAGGCTAAGAATGTAAGTACTTCAGTCTAACGTTTCTTTCCTAGAAACATTTCAGAAAATAAACCAAAATTGTGAGTTTTAAAACTTGTGTATGATTGGGAATAGGCCTACAAGTTTATTCATGACTGTGATAGACTACGTTTTTACAAAATTCTAGATAGTCTTAGGCCTAGTTTAGCTCTGTTATTTTATTTGCCAATTAGAGAACAAATCCCATACTGTGAATAACTCGAGTCTAAAGAAGATACTGGATAGCCTTCTGCATTTAATTTGACTACTTAGCCTATTCTCAAGAGTTATTAATTTTGATGTTCCACATGCTGACTGCTGACTTTGTTATTTTGTAACAAACTCACTGAATGGTGTTTTGCCAGTATCTTAATATTTGGAAAGCATTACTCAATATAAGGTAGCCTAAGTTTTTTTTTTTAATTACTGTACTTACTAGTGTCAAGCTGATGACCAGATGATCTGGAAAGACTGTGTCATGCCTGCGGTTTGCATTTGACGTTTGCCAAAAGTCATAGGTCTTTATTTACCATTAAATACAATAAGTGAAATAGGTTCGTCACATTCAAAATAAAGGTAATTCTGAGCACTTAAGTACTTGGTCAACCCCAATCTTTTTCACATTTTACTACGGTCATGAGGATGTTCTCAGAAACAAGAAACATATCATTGCCATCGTACAGGTTGCCGAGTTATAAGAAGGTTCAAAGAGTGAGTCGGTGGCTCAGTCGGTAGCGTCGCGGACTTCGGGCTCAAGGCAGCGATGTCGTGGGATCGGATCCTGGTCACTGCCGATAACATTTTATCAGTACAGTTCACCTTTGTACTGTACCGGCTCACTCCTTGCTTTGCTGTAAACGATCCACGCACGGGCGCTTAGTCTGTGTGGACGGGCAAATGCAAGGTTAAAAGAGACCGCCAACCTCTTTAAAAAAAATAAATAAAAAAAAGTCCACGCGATAACAAAGGCTTGCTGGAGACGCACGGAAGGCCAGATGTGACAGTACAGTAGACTCCCTCTTATCCGGACTCCTCAGGACCGAGGCCAGTCCGGATAACAGTTTTTCCGGTTAAACTGAAGTCCCCAAAAACTCTTTTACTGTGATATTTGACTTAAATTTAGGAGAACATTGTATTTTCTTTCCCATGAGAATAGTCGTTTCAGTACCGCTCACCTCCTGTCGATCTAGTCCGGTTAAACCAATAAGTTGATAGGCCAGCATTTAATTATTTCCTACATGACAAAAAAATTTGGTAGTTTTTCCAAAAAGAGAGTATGTCTGTAGAATTTCTTTTTATATAATTTTATTTGTATGAATATTTTAAAAATATTGATATTTCTAAGTAAGGAATCATATTTCACATAGGCCTAATCTTTACTTTTAGATAAAATGTATAAAAAAACTTATTTTGTGGTTTTTTGTGGGTTGCTATTGAAATTTCTAATTTGAATAACCCGAAAATTTGCAAACCGTTTGCTACTACGCCCAAGCTCATTGCTAGAAAAAAATTCTTTTTGTATCATTACTTTTATTCTACATTTATCACTGAAACAGAAAATACATATATACCTATATATGTGTACCTACTTAGCCTAAATTCACAAACTGTGAAAAATATATGACGGTATTTCAACCCGGGACCAGGCAAACTCTGTGTGGCGAAATATATGGTACCACTACAAAGGGTAAAAATATACATCCACCACTGGTGATTAAAATTACTGTCAGATCTAGAGTTATCATATGCAAAATAGACAAGCTCAAGGCAAAATGAATTACTAAATGCACAAACCACACTTGTAATACTTTTTCATTGCAATGGCGACCATACAAAGTAGGTATTTTGCAGGTGTACGTGAAATATGACTACCTCACATGCTTACAACTAGTGTGCTTTGATATGCTAACTTATGGATCCAAGAGCTATTTGCATCCCTTCCCAACCCTCCTGACGGGAATGTTTCTCTTTCTTGCACCCCTAACTAACCAAAAAACTCCTCGCAACCCAGGGCCCAAGCCCATTTACGAAAGCGGCCCTGGACTGTGTCAATCTGCCTAATTATAAATAGTAACTTAAGGCTGAAGCCTCCAACGAAACTTTGATATTTGAATCCTTCCTATTATCGAACTTAAAAATATTGTTTTGATCGAAATACCAAAATTAGCTTAGCTTAGTCAACAAATCATATTCTTTATCGATTAGGCCTATAACAATTGATAATTACGATAAGGTGGAATATCAAAGTTTTGTCATTACATCTATCTTGGAATCCAAAAGGCTCCTCCCTAGAAAGCTACCCAAGAAACTGAAATCTTAATTCCGTCACAACGTACATGCTGCACATAGGCTATTTGATTGATCCGTCTTGCACATGTGGCCTAAATAATTAAGTATGAGATACTTGTTAAAATGCTACCATAGACTAACCAACAGTGCTACCTAAAAATAAATTTATTTTTGTATTAAATTTCAGCGGTAGCCTACCACTACTGCTCTCCAACTTACAGTTATAATACCGTACCCATATTTTGTCTTGCAAAGGTGAAAGAGAAACTTTCAATATGAAACGTGTAGCTAGCAGCCCAGACCAACCAACACAATTTCAAAACATCATTGTTTTTGCAATGGTGTTATCGGTACATCGATAGTTGACCTATTGATGCTCATCCCTACTTCATGATAATTTCAGCTGCTTTGACACTTTTGCATGACATTTTCTTTTTTAAATGTCATGAGTATACTTCCTCCACTTTGAAGTTACACGTACTAAAAAAACTAACTGTCGTGAGGTTTTATTATTTTTTTTCAAATAGGGCTTACAACTGATGAATTTTATATCCTTCTAAAGTGAATTAACAAGAGAGTAATAATCAGCAAAAACAATATTTTCCTAAATAAAAAAAACCTTTTTCGGTCAGGCTAACTGATAAAGGCTCTTCCCAATAAAAACTGCATTTACGGAGTCAGCTGAAAATAAACTAAGCAGATTACATAAAAATAAATTTATGAACGTTCATTAAGAGTGGGTATATTCAACAAATAACAAACAAAAAAAAGTTAGGCCTACGTTCATTATTAATTGGCCAACTCAAGGGTGCTTGTATTGGAGTAGAATAATACTGATGTTCGGGTCTTCTAGACTATCACATTGATATGACTGTGAATTGATAGAGGGTCATAGACTGTGGTAGTTAATAACATCCTGTTTCCATCAACCACACCAATTGACTCTACCTCTACTTTCAATGTCAGTAAACAGAATCTTCTAGCTGCCTTATAACTGATTTAATAAAGCCTCCCATGTCCTCTTAGCTAAACCGTAAACTATTTTTTTCAAACTATGTAAGTTGATTTTACCAACTTAAATTGGCTGTGTATGAACTAATGTTTGGAATATATTTTTTTACTTTTAGTTTGCAAATTGGTTAGCATTGTGTAGCATATCGTAGACTTTATCTAGCGTTTCATATACCTTACTGTATTAACTTTAGGCCTACATAATTTAATAGTCTTTATACTTACCTAAAATGTTAAGTTCAATCTCGAATTGTAGGCCAAATTATCGTAAATTTTTTAATCACACAATTTTTACAGCATTTGTGTTAACTAAGTTTTATCTGCCAAAATAAATTAAATAGGCCTAGGTATCTTTAAAAACTTCTCTGTCTTGTACAGGAACTTTAGTTTATTCAGAGATTGCTGTGAAAATCTCTCATTACCAAATTCATCAGGATCAGTGCTGCTAATTAACAACAATTAATTAGAGGTTCCTAAATTAGTGGCAAATTAAGCGTGAGCTCTACCCCTGCCGTTTTGTATAAACTAGGCTAATAAATAGGCTATTAGGTTTAAAAATGTATCTGTAGTCCTGATTCCCGCGAACCTAAAAGTCAGTCTCTAAGAGTAACCACGATTTTTCTTCTGCTGATCCATGAGGACGACACATGTTTTAGAGGTATGTTTAATCTTTAATAGGTACCCAGTCAAGCCCTGATTACAAATTTGCTATTCAACCTCCATATTTTTCTAGGTCTGGAACAGCATCATTGCCGCACATGGAGGTGGTGGACCGTATCTGGCGTTTGCCGGTGATGGAGTCTGCGTGGAACACCTCCTACAACATTTACGACCGTATGAAGAACGCCAACGGCCTGGCCAACTGGACGCTGTCCACAGCTGAGGGTGCCGTCCACTTGGCCGTAGAGACCATAGCTCCGGTGGCCAACCGCCTCTCTACCCCCATACACGTGGTGGACATGAAGCTCTGCCAGGGACTGGACATACTGGAGCAGAAGGTTCCGATCGTCAAAGAACAGCCACAACAGGTAGGCCATGTACTGACCATTTAGTTTAAGTTTCGATGGTTTGTGTTTATGAGAGAAAAATGTGTTGTTGGTTATTAGTGTTTATAATGTTTTTAGTTTTAACCTTCAATTTTGTCTCTGTTATGGTAATGGTTAATACTTGTACAATAAATGATATGTGTAGGTAGGTGAGTTGATAAAGGTGCTTGCTTACTAACCAGAAAATTGCCAGTTAAATCCTGAGAAAGGTTAGCTACTCTTTGACGGTTTGAAACTGGACCCAGTTGTCAAATCGTCTTTTAATGAATGTTCCTGACTGAGGAATCAGCTGATTTGATTCAATAACTCAAGCTATCATCTCATTCGTTCAACACCAACTGTCCAATCATATAAAGGTTACCCCAAATGCTCTGGTTTTGTCAACTCCGTAGAAATGTAAATCTTATCTTATTTTTAAATGTTCCCATAATGTTATTGATTTATTTTCACTCATATTTCACTAAATTTTGCCTCTTTTTACTTGTCCTACTGTGTCAGTATTGTTGATATTAGTCAATGATTTTGATCGATTGTCTTCATTGTATTTTGATAGAAAATAAGTAATACTGAAAAGTTTGCAAAACATGGAGTACCTCATTATAGGTCCACATATTAAGTTTTATGTGATTCTGAATTGCTTTGTTGTAAAACTAATCAACTAGTGAGTTTTTTTATAGCTTACAATTCCACTAAAGGTAGTATTCCACTAAGTACGATGCAATCAGAAAGTCATTCTCATCAGATTTCTGAAAGTTTGCATATTTCCTTCAAAGTTATACATTTCCAGGATGGCTTTGCACAATCATCACTATGTAAAAAGCTGAGTCATGTCATGACCTTCCATTCACTCTGCCACCTGTCTTCAGTATAATGGCTTTCTAGTAGTTAAGAACATTGTTGTCTCATTAAAAACATCTTCCGGTCTTCTAATTAGCATCTTTGAATACTTGGGAACAAAATACCTTTGGTTAACCCATTAGCCAATGAATATTTAGGTGCCCTGCAGTCATTGAGTTAGCCAAAATGCAGGGTTGTCTTTATAAATTCATAAAACATTTGTTTTTGAAGTTACAAGGTAGCAAGTTATGTTTATTTACTCGAAATAAAATTGCCATCAATAATGATTATTTTTAAATATAATAAAAACTATAAATAAAATATTTTTTGTCTAAAAAAATAAAAAAATCTTTTTTTGAAAGCATGACTATTTTATTTACCTAAAAAACCAATGTACCGTATATATATATTTTTGCACCTAACATGTATTTAGAATACAATTCCCTACATAAAAATACTAAAAAATTAAAATAGATACAAAAATAAAAATGTTACATATGTTTTTGTAAAGTACTACAAATTGGAAAAACCTTATTTTTTAAACCCAGCCAAAATGCAGGGCTTTCCTATAAATTTATGAAACATTTCTTTTTGAAGTTTCAAAATAGCAAGTTATGTTTATTTCCTCAAAATAAAATTGCCTTCAATAATTATTATATTTAAAAATAAAAAAGTAAAAAATATTTTTGCCTAAAAAAATTCAAAATAAATTTATATTTTCTGAAAGCATGACTATTTTATTTACCTAAAACCCAATATATATGTATATTTTTGCACCTAACATGTATTTAAAATACAATTCCTTACGTAAATATACAAAAAAATTAGAAAAATTGAATATGAATTTAATTTTTCTACCCTAAGCCAATAAGATGTAATTAATTGTATTTTTTTAACAATCAACCAATTTAAGTGGCATTGTACTCATCACAGAAGGGTTCCGTGATACAACTTTTGAGCCCAATAGAGCCATCACGGAACAGTTCCGTGATACAAGGCCAATGGGTTAGTGCTTTTGGGAAATATAGGAGAAGTGGAGTACATCTTCTGTATTTAGAGCCATATCTTAACTTTTAAAACTGTTAAGACATGTTACAAAAAGCTGCAAAATTAAAAATAAAATCTTTTTATTTATCAGATTAGTTGTGTTATTGCTTTTATAATGATTTATTAACATCTATCACTCTATCACTTAAAGCATCTCACACAGCTTTTTTTTTAACTTTTAATTTATTTTGACTAATTTTATCATAGATGATCAGGTTAGGTATAGTTGACTCAGTTTCATGTGAATTAAAATTAAAATTGCATAAACAATTTGACTTTATAAACATGTTCTGTCTAATTTATAGATACTATGCTGATTTTACCTAACTTGACTAATCTATCGAACAAAATCATTTATGGGGTGAAGGTTTTATAAGTGTTAATAACAGTCGCTGTATACTAGATTTTTTTCAAATCAGCGTAGTAGAAGCTGGGCTGTTTATTTTTAGTTGATATCGTTATCTGTCCAACGACCTTGAGATGCATCTGAGTGGCGTGATCTGTTTTGAACGTCAATCGTGACACCGGGTCACGACTTGACAGTCAATCATCTACGTGATTCAAGACAGAAACAATATTTCTATTAAAAGCTACATGCTGAAAATTGTTTATACAATAATTAACTTGAATTTATAAATGAATAGTAAATACCTGGACTTGTTTTTTTTTATAATAATACTAATTCAAAGTCAACCTCTCTGTATTCATTGTCTTCTATAGAATATACAGTGAATATCATGGTTGGTTATATTTTGATTTAAATTTTTATAAACAAAGCACGGTTATGATGAGCAACAACATCTCGTAATAACCTTTTTAATTTGAAACTAGTGGCCTGTTGTAGGGGCCATAGCCCCTAAATTAGACTATAATAAAAACACCATATATAAAAAGACAAATATTCGAAGTATGTTTTTAAAATTGTCAATTTTATGTTACTTAAAATTAACAGTGTTTCTTGTTTTATATCTTGGTTTTCCTTCCGTTGGAGTCGTATATTAGGTGCTCCTGATGTGTCAATGAAATACAATTGTAAAATAATGATTAAATCAATAACACAACATATTAACAAATGGAAACGTGCACACAATTTGGCCTGAGCCCGGAGAACGATGAATCAGAGCTGAAATCATATAGCCATTTATTTCACATCTTTTCTAGTTTAAAATTGAATATTTGTTTTGTAATCTTACGAATTATGTTATAGTTTCCACTTTGGGAACCAAATGTAAAGGTTGAAATTATTATTAATTATTATGAAGGCAACTCCCCATTTTGCGGTAGTAAGTCAGAAATATATCTATGAATTTGTCCCTGAATTTTAAGACAGTAAGGCCCATTTCCCGGAATCTCTTTTTGTGTAGCGGAAAGCGAAGCAAAAGCCACTGCACTGTTGTTTTGCCTTATGTTTTTTATGAAGTTCGAATCATGTAAAAACAGTTCTTTTAGTTGTGGTCATTTACTTGTGGTTGTGGCATGTCCATTGTGGCACCATGCGTTGAAATCCTCTGCGAAGTGAAATGCGCCACAATGCATGCAAGTGCTTTAAGAGGACCTAGATTGTGAGAAACAACACTCAACTCATTTTCAAGCGTTCTTCTAAAGACAGGTTGTAAAACAGCTTCTGGATTTCTTTCACAGTTAGGCCATACATGATGTTCTCTTTTGTATTTCTTAAGTCTGTTGAATTCCTGGACACTCTTCCACGTCTTGCAGGTCTTCCCCTACCCTGTCTAGTTACTTCACTCATAATAAAAACCTAAAAAATAAACACAATTCATTTTGAAACATTATTTACCCACACTGACTTTCGGAATAAATGTAAACATTGCAAATAAATAAGTAACAGCTGATAGAATGCAGAAGTTTTTCAGTCCCCATGCATTTCTTATGGTTGATATTTTTTATTATATCTCGTTTTCTGGTATATTTATGGGAATTCTGCTATTTTTCCCGAGTCCCTGGGGTCAGGACCTTTAATTTAAGACCGCTCCCACTTTTCTGCGACTTACCAGACGTCCACAATTTTCTGGTAAAAATTTGGTCTTACGGAATTATATATATAGATTTGTTGTCATTAATGATTTTAAAATTCTTTGAGGTTAGTTTTGTTTAAGGAAAGGCTCTAGGCCAGGATTTTAAATGGTAGAAAAAGGAGGATAGCAGCTAGCTTACCTTGAAAGTGTGGTTAGGCCATAGAACAAGTAGAAAAATATTTTGCACACAATATTTCGTCCCCTAAGGGACTTTGTCAAGTGTAGAGAGAGTTTATAAATTACAAGATGAATTTTGTAATCTTGTAATTTATAAACTCTCTCTACACTTGACAAAGTCCCTTAGGGGACGAAATATTGTGTGCAAAATATTTTTCTACTTGTTCTATGGCCTACCCACACTTTCAAGGTAAGCTAGCTGCTATCCTCCTTTTTCTACCATTTAAAATTCTTTGAGTGAGTATAGTCCTAATGCTCTCTCAGTTTTGCTAACTTTTTTACATTTTGGAGAATTTGGTGAGTCGGTGGCGTCGCGGACTTTGGGCCCAAGGCAGAAGTGTTGTGGGTTCTGATCCTGGTCACTGCCACTAACTTTTATCAGTACAGTTAACCTTTGTACTGTACCGGCTCACCCCTTGCTTTGCTGGATACGTTCCACGCACAGATATGTAGTCTATGTGGACGGGCAAATGCAAGGTTAAAAGAGGCTGCCAACCTCTTAAAAAAAAAAAAATTTGCTTGGTACATTTTGATCTGGGTTTATTATTTACATTTGTTTTAGAATTCAGAACTATTATATTAACATAGATAAATTTAGGTGTTGAGCATGGGAAGGGTGGTGTGTTGCATACAAGGTTGCAGCGCTTTTATAGATTGTGGGAAACTAGTGTCATAGTAGCGTTAACCTGCGGGTTACTGTACAAACACCAAAGAGTCAATAGAATTGACAGAAATGTCCGCTTAATATCCTCAACGTCAACAAAAACCAAGCGTATATGTAACCTCTCATCCTCCCTTCAGTATGGATAATAAAGTGTAAATGGGTCATTTTCAAATTGAATGCAACTTTCAAGTTAAGAATGGATTAAATAAAAACTTTGCTAGAGCCCCTTTGTTTTTACAAACAACATTTCAACATATATTAATAAACACTACCTAATAGAAATTTTTTCAGTTTATCCAGTAATTTATGATTTTTTACTGTTTTTTTATTGGGTACGGTAATACCCTTAAAATGTCATGAGTGTTACTGTAATAAGATTATGGAAAAACTGTTTCTTTGAATAAAAAAATTTTATACTGGAACAACATGGTGTCATAAATAACTTACTAGACCTTATAATATATTGTTTTTAGAATTTTTTTATTTTATTTTTTGTTATTAACCTTTTATGTGTCAGGAGTGTTACCTGACAGCAGAAAAGAAACTATATTTTTTTAATTTACTCAACATAACCAAGAAAATTTCAATCGATTATCAATGATTGTTGTTAGTGTGTATTGATATATCTTTCCTTAATATAAACAAACGACTAAATATACAAACTTAGAGTTTTCTATACTAGTTTTTATTATTTTTATATTCAGTAACATTCATGACTGTAGGTAACACTCATGACAATAAGTAACACTCCTGAATTATACATTGGGAATTCAATAAAATAAAGCCAGTTTTTAATTATAAAAGTGTATTTTCTAACAAAAAAAGTACATAGGCCTATATAAAAGTTTATATTCAGTTATATTATTTTTATATTCAGTAACATTCATGACTGTAGGTAACACTCCTGACAGGTAACACTCCTGACTAATGTTACTATTCAATTATAAAAGTGGACTCTGGGTAAAGACCAGAATTTGGAGGTTAGGTTTACATTCATAGTACATCAACACTAAACAACTGATATTAAGTAAACTTTTCTAAAGTATGCATATCACTTTAAAAAAATAGTAACACTCTTGACAATGAATTAAAATACTTATCATTATTAAAACGTATTCTTTATGTATTCTGGTTTTCTTCTAACTTAAATCATAAACTTCCACATTGCTGGAAACTAGAAACAATATGGCTGCTTATTGCCAACAAAACAACAAAATTTCCCTTTTTTCCCTGTTTTCATTGGGTAACATTCCTGAAGTAACATTCAGGACCGATTGTGGGGGACAGTTGTTCAAAAATTGTTATAACAAAATATATGCATATTAAAATTGAATTTTGCTATCAATGTTTCTTTATGGTTAAAATACTTCATTGTTAATAAGGTATTTACATTATATACTTGCTGCAAACAGCTTAATTAAAAGTTATATCGTTAAGTTCATGTTAAAGGACAGTAGTAAAACAATGACTTACCTAGATTCAAAATTTTATATAAAAGAAATTATGACTCAAAAATCAATGACAATTCAAAAGTGTGTTCTTATATATGTGTTTCTTCACTCAATACTTTTTTTTAACTAAAATTGTTAAGATATATATATTTTTTTAATCCTAAAATGTTTAGGACTGTAAAGTTGCATCAAGTTTGAAAATGACCCAAATACTTTAACCTGTCTCGGAAGGATTGACAGATTAGTTTGCAAACGATATGTTGTTTGAAGTAAGGATGATTGTAGGATAAATGAGAAAATCACTTTTATACTGGCTAGATAGTTTAAAATGAACAGAGAAAAGTAAGGGGGTTAGTGAGATGTGAATTTTATCAGACATCGGAATGATTATTTAAATATCCAGAAATTTCTCTCTATTTCCAAACTTAGCTTCAGGAGGTTTTTAGCCTTTCCAACAGTCTTGGTCTTGCAATTACCTCCGGTGTTGCATTCAAGATGCTCATGCTTTTCAGTAAAAGAAAGAAACTTATCGCTGTCGTATGTTTCAGATATTGGAGAGCACCAAGGACCTGGTCAGCAGCAAGGTTGTACAGCCTGTGATGCAGACTGCGTCGGCCGCTAAGCAGGTGAACGTGGCGTCCCTCAAGGATCTGTCTTGGTCCAAGGCCAACGAGATACTAGAGACCCGTTATGGTAACATGGCTCTGCAGGGACTGGACTCCACCTCATCCGTAGCCAACACCTACCTAGACTACTACTTGCCAGAAGAGGAGGAAGAAGAGGACAACGAGCGCCGTAAGTAACTTATTTTAGTAACAGAGCTCATCGTTGTAACTTATAATTATTTTTGAAGACCCAATTATCTGAATGAGGTGCGGTCCAAATTGATTCGCATGATTGAAGTCCTAATGTGCCTGTGTTCAGTACCACTAGTTTCTTATATATATGTACCATGATTCGTCGTACTTAATTTTTTAGTACCGGGATACAGCGTCTCAGTAACTTATTTTTTAGTAACGAGATTCGTCATCGTTAGTAACTTATTTATTGAATCCATGGTTTATTTTGTGGCTAGGAAGATGGAGGGGCATAAGTGAATAGGCTTATCATATTAACTTACCCTCCTTACTTACAGTCGGGACCACGTAAGCTTGCAGTTGAGGGAGGAGCCTATTTACCGCACGGTTTTGAATTAACCATTGAGAACCATGCGGTGTTGCCAAATCTAATAATACCAGCTGATTTGAAAATATTGCTTAGTATATTTTTATTAGTGTTGTCAACGTCCTAGCCTTATCTTGTGATTGGCTGCCACCAACTGCAAACTTACGTGGTCCCGACTTTAAGTGTTAATTTGTTGAATATATAAGGTTTTAAAGAAGCAGCATGACTAAGTTTAATGAGTTTGTACTTGTTATTTCTGAGGCTCTCATTTTATTACAGTATATCTCCAACTATAAGAACTCAAATAATCTGCATCGCCAAGTTTCTGGATCTCCTCAAAATAAAAATAAATAAAATAAAGTTCTGTGAAGTAGTCTGTTACCATATTTTAATTTGTGTTCATAATGTGGCGAGTTGAGTCTTAAAAATAAAAATAAATAAAATAAAGTTCTGTGCAGTAGTCTGTTACCATATTTTAATTTGTGTTCATAATGTGGCGAGTTGAGTCTTGTAGTTGTTGAGTCATCCACCAAGAGCTACCGTTTCTCCTCAGTCAGTGATTGGCTTTTACTGAAAATATAATAAGGCCTATGTGGTTTTTTTGTCATCCTGATGGGGTCCGGTCCCAACCCCAGTAGTTGAGATTTAACCGTATGTATTAAGTAAGAATAATATTTTAATTTTTTGCCAAAAATAATTTCTACCAATATGTTACAGTTCATCCGAGTTCCGAGTGCGATGACAAGGTCCTACACACTGCTCACACTGTCGGCCGCCTCTCCAACAAGGTGGGCCGTCGTGTCTATCGCACGCTGAGTCAGCGGCTCAGAAATGTCAACAAACAGAACATCAACGAGTACCTGAACAACCTGAGCCTCGTAGTTCAGATGACCAGTTACCTCAACTCTGTCAACCAAGCGGTAGATCAACGTACAGCCGCAACAACCTCCCCTCCTACTGCCAATGGTGCCAACTGAACTGCTCAAGACTGATTCACATTCCATTTACAGGCCTATACTCATTTGCTCAACATATATGAGCTGATTGTATTTTTTAAGATTTTTAAATATATTCATGTAGTGTTAGTTAGACTTTGTATTCCTAGTTTGAAATAAATATATTTATTAGATGTTTGATTTTTTCAGGTTTTTGAGTAGATGTTTGATCATTTATACCCTGTGTGTTATTGTAATTTGGGGTTTTTGAGGCCATAAAAAGTGCTTACAGCGACTGCTTAAAAAGTTAAAAAAAAATGCATTATTTGAATAAAAGTTTAGGTTACAGTTTTTCTTCGGAAACACTTGTAGTGAAATTCAACTATGAATCTTTCATGCTATGGAAAGTAAAGCATACCTTCAGCTATTAGCTCCATTAAATCAACGGATCAGAAAACAACACAGGTCGAGGTAACCTAAACCTTTATTAGTTCATTCTGGAGAACTATGTAAGAAGTAAAAAATGAATTGTCAATCATTGCACAACTTACATTATACATATTTTAAATATTGTAATTTTGACCTTATTTGGATTGTGAACCTATTCACTCATGTGAACACAGTAATCTATTGTAATTCAAGGCTAAACCTAACTGCCTAAGGAAGCCTTACATAAAAAGTATGGCTGTTTTGTGTGTAATTCTAGTATTACTCATACTAGAGAAATAATCCATGATAACTTTTGGTCCTAGGGTTTGGGATGTCGTCAGGTCCCCCAACCAAACCCCCCCCCCCCCCCCACCAAACACAAATTGTGATACTCATTATACAAAGTTGTGTCATTTTAATGACAGACACCTAAACCGCAGGGCTTGTAACAGGTTATTTTTTTTATTTTTTTTTGCTCTTGGTTATTTTTTGTTATTTTTTTTTAATTTGGTTTATTTTTTGGGGGATTTTGGTTATTTTTTGTATTTTTTAGGGCAATTAGGTTTTTATTGATCAATTTTGATGAAGCTCGTAAAACTTTTAAAACTCATGAAATGCCCCCAATGAAGAGGGGTAGGATTAGTAACATAAACCAAAATGAACATAGATTTTTTATATTCTTGTCTTTGTACATTTGATTCTGTATTTAAGACCTGTGACTTTATACATATTTGTATGTGTACATATTGTTATGCTATTTAAAATTAACAATTTGTTTAAATAATTAATTCCTGTTTTATTTGGTTTATGATACTTGTCAACCTGAACTGAGGGGGAAATTTCCCGCTCCAATCCGTTTATTACAGATTGTAGTTAGCGTCAAACTAGCCAGTTTCAACAATTAATGAATGAATTAAGTAGATTTTCTGGCTGGTTAACCAACTTAACAATATCAAAGTGTTATAATATTTTGTAACTCTCTCGTTCTCTGTATAAAGAGTAAGAGATTTACAAGATCGCGACATTAAGTTCAAATGTATATAATGATTTATTGCCATTTCAAGCAGTGTGAATTCGCTTGTACTTCTTGAAATAGTTTGTAAAGAACCTATAATAAACCTAATAGTTAAGAGTTATGTTTGACTTTGATGTTTCATTCAATATATATTTTTAATTTGACATTAACATTTATCTAAGTAAAAAATGTTAGTATTAGGATATTAATTATATTTGTTTTTGTAATTTTTGTCTAAATAAATGTTTAAAAAGGAAAAAAAATCGAAAAAAGTAAGGGGAGGATGGGAGGACTTTTTTCTATTTTTTTCATTTTTTTATTATTATTGCCTTAGTAGATTGTCACTTACCTAGTTCAAAATTATCCTATGTCATTTTTATTGCCTACATATTTTTAATATCCCAATAAAATGCTGGTTTTTGTAATTTTTAGCGACATTTTGGGTTTATTGAAGATTATTTTTTGGTTATTTTTTCATTTATTTTTACCTCAAGAACTGTTACAAGCCCTGAAACTGATTGAACGTCCTTACAAAAATACTAGAGTCAGGAATCAGGGATTAAATAACTTACATTTTTGATGAATGTTTTTTTTTTATGATAATCAAATCCATACAATTAATGTAAGAAAGTATTAAAACCTATAAAAATTACTATATATATACTAGCTGACCCGGCGAACTTCGTATCGCCTAAGTTATAGGTTTCCCCTAAGACAGACCGATTGAAAGAAAGTACCGTTACGTTTAATTTTCAAGATGATCTCGCATCGCTCAATCACGTCCTGGTTGAAGTTCGTTCGCTACGCTCACTCACCTTTGGGTTGGAGCTCGTTCGCTACGCTCACTCACCTTTAGATTGGAGCTCGTTCGCTACGCTAACTCGCCTCCAGGTTGAAGTTCGTTCGCTACGCTCACTCACCTTTGGGTTGGAGCTCGTTCGCTACGCTCACTCACCTTTAGGTTGGAGCTCGTTCGCTGCGCTCACTTGCCTTCAGGTTAGCTCGTTCGCTACGCTAACTCGCCTCCAGGTTGAAGTTCGTTCGCTACGCTCACTCACCTTTTGGTTGCAAATTAGCTGTTGTCATAAATGTAAAAGAAATAATAGTGCTGCACCCTGTTGGTAATCCTTGTAACTTTAATGCTATTGAACATCATAGAACAGAACCAACTTGTTTAATTGAAACAGCTGTTAAGATTCATCAATTCCATTTCTCATAAGGTTAACATGGGAAACTCCAGAGCCACTGGGGCGGAGCCCTTTTAAGAATTTCGAAACGGGAAATAGTTTACGTCCGATTCGCATACCTACAGAATTTACACACCAAATTTCATAACGATCGGTGAAGTCGTTCCGGAGGAGTTTGCAGACAAACACTGTGACACGAGAATTTTATATATTAGATATGTGTGTGTGTTAATACAGATTAAATTGAAATTAATACAATGGTATGCAAAAACTTAAACCAAAACCTACTCCCTACTCTGGGTAGAATATCTTATCTTACTAAATAATAACCAAACATAAAAAGATTAACTTCAGATTTTACAATAAGATGAGAAATCTACTTTTAATAAGGTAGTCTATGATAACAGGGCGAGCAGGTACCTGAATGGAATCATATCATACTTCAAACAAAATAATAAATGTGAAAGTTCTGTGTTTGTTTGTTTGAATTCAATCGTACATTAACTACTGGTCGGATTGGGCTGAAAATTGGCATGATGATAGCTCACATTCCCGATTAACATATAGACATATTCTTATCTCAAAAATTCTTTCGGGCTCCACCCCATTGGCTCAGGAGTTTCCTATGTTAACCTTATGAAAATGAGTATTCATATTTAAAACGCAGAGGATACGCGTCCGGTAACCGGACGTGGATTAGGCGTCCGGCAGTTACTGTCATAACCTAACCTAACCAACCAAACTTGCTGATAGTGAAAAAAATCAAATGAAGGTACAATTCTCTTCATAACATAAAATTATAAATGCCAAAAATTCTAACAAAAGATGTACAGTTAAGCCGGGTTTTCCTAGGCGCGTAGTCGGCCAGCGGAGAGAGGAACGCGGAGAGCGGACTCAGCTGGTCTTAGGTAATTTAATGTTACTGTTTTCCTAGCAGCGGAGCGGAATGCCATGTTAATTTCAATTCCGCTCTCCGTTGTCCGCTCTCCGCTGGCCGACTCCGCGTCTAGGAAAACCCAGCTTTAAGAAGAAATTACATTCAAAGCAAATTCTGTGACAAAAAGTTAAAGTTACCGATGGGTTTCGAACCGGGGACCTCTCGCATATCAGTCGAGCACTCTATCCACTACACCACGAACACTGATGGCAGAACATAGTATCATTGTGGTAATGGCGTTCCGGGACCCCCTACCGGACGCCTAATCCACGTCTGGTTACCGGACGTCTAATCCACGTCCGGTTACCGGACGCGTATCCTCTGTGTATTTAAAAAGAATTAAACAGGGTGTCCACATTCTGGAAAGTCATGGAAAAAAATTTGTCATTTAAAGTCATGGAAATAGGCAAAAAGTCATGGAAATCCCCAATGATGGGTGGATTGAGGGGACCATTCAATGCTCTAGTCGGCCGTAACCCCGACTGTTGTAGCATTTTTAAGGATTTTTCACAAATGTTCGACAATTCAATTTATTACAGTTGTATTATTTTATGAGTTTTGAGTTTGTTTTAGTTCATTATTGTACTCCATTTTTATCTGTTATTACATATTTCAGCATTTTCTCCAAAATAACATGTCTAGGCAGTAGGCCTATTATTTGTGTGTGTATGTTATATTATAATTTTCGAGTTAAGTTCGTGAGTCATGGAAATCGATGGTAAATGTTTACTATAATCAATGGTTCTACTTCGTGATGTGTATTATATAGCTCAGTAGTAATGGCATTGCTGAATTAAGTGTATCAGCAGATAGCTGGTTTTTTTTCTCTTATAGGAAAAGAGAAACCAGCTGACAGCAGTGAGTGGCAGCGGCAGCTGACATTTGTTATCGTATCGTTTGGTCGTTTCTTGTTTCTTGTTTATATGTTTATTGGAATGCGAATGGACAATGACCAGCAATACCAATACCATGACTAAGTACTAGTTGTTAAGTAAAATACCCCCGCCGCAGCAAACCTGACGCCTAAGCGAATTTCCATTTGGCTGAATTGATTTTCAATTGATCTATTTAAATAACATTAGGTTTAACGAGTACCTAGGTTTGCTGCTACAAGGAAACTAATAAAGTGTGTGTTTTAAGTAAAATAATTATTGCTTAGTATAAAATGAATATATTTGCCAAGTTTGATCAAAAGATACCCATAAACCAGCAAACTACAACATTTTACAATATTCTCCATAAGAATAACATGGGAATTTTAAATTTACCATTTTTTTAGTTTTCTCCGTAACCAATAACCGTACAAAAACACTTTGATATACTGAATTGTTTGTTTTTTTAAGCTCTTTAAGAAGGTTTAGAGAAAAATTGGGAAATTTTGTGTTTTGAGGGTCAAAAGTGAGAAAAACCAATTTTTACCCCATAAAACCCCCCACAAAACCCTGTTCCCATGGTCCGATCATTCTGAATCGCGAACTCATTCAAGTTTATCCCGCCTTACACCTTCAAACCAAATTTCATCAAAATCGGATAAAAATTACTCAAGTTATCGTGTTCACGGACACACATATATATATATATATATATATATATATATATATATATATATATATATATATATACATATATAAAAATTTGAACGAGTGGTGTTTTTGGCCTCTGGGGACATCAAAATGAAAAAGTAAATCGGTCCCGGGCCTAAGTCTTACCATGAGACCTACGGTAATAGCTACTTCCCTATAGGGAAATTCGCTAATAATATCAAATCTTAATCACCATCATTTTGATTTCATATTTTATTTATTGCTAATGGATTTACAACAATTTTACAGTATAATTACTTGTGTATTGTGAGAAGCCATTACGACTAGCCTACATTTTAAAATTGCAATGGATCGGATCTTGCTAGATGGATTATGGAATTTGGGAAAGAAGGTTACCATACTGGCGGACTGGTACCGGAATAAAAATAAGGTTAGCCTAGTTCATACTTTATTTAGGCTTAGGCCTATCTAGGTTTTTTAGTGTGGCTTTGTCTAGGCTTAACTTACTGCCATTACGGTTGCTATGTTTAGCAAACCACTAGGCCAGCATTACACCCATTAAACCTAACCTTATTGATAAGCCTAAACTGTATAGGCTAATGATTTTGAAGATAAGTTATCCCCAGCCTGATTCGTAATTGTGATTAAGAAGCTCATTATTTCTCTGTGAATTGTAAAATGTTAACCGAGATTCATTTTCATTAACATAGACAAATTAGGCCTATCCTAAGGATTAAAACACTATTAGCCTAACTTACTCTTGAAAACCACCAATTGTGTTACTAATTTTACTGAACAACATTAGGCCTAGGCTGATTGCCTTGGAACGTGTAACAAGCGATTATAAGGATCTAAAGGCTGCACTTTACTTGACGTCCTATACTCATTCGAATGAAAATATCGATCGATATATCGATTAATCGATTGCTTCATTCGATATATCGTTTGGTTAGTTAGGTAAGGTTAACCTAACCTAACTAACCAAACGATATAGGTATCGAATGAAAATATTGAATCGAAAAAACCAATCGAATGAGTGTAGGACGTCAAGTAAAGTGCAGCCGATCTAAACTTAAGCTTTACCAAACTAGGCCTATAGGAATTCAAAAATTTAGCTTGGCAAGTTAGGCCTGCTAGCAAAGCAAGTTAGCCTACGTTTATCAAAATAACTTATGTTAGCTTGTAACTTTGCCGTGTAACATTGTGTTTCTGGTCCATCAGGCATAATTGAAGGCTACTGTGTTTAATTTTTTGCAACCATTATGTTGCTTAAATCTGGAACTAGGTCAAGGCATTGTTTATTTTAGTTGCTCATTCTTTTATCTCTTTATTTTCAGACCAATGGCTAACTTACATGTGAGGTGCTGTGTCCTCATGGGCTAATTTTGAGTGGCCTAACACCAAAGCTCTTAATAACTTAACTCCATCAAAGTAGCAAGTTTGGTAGCCTAATGGTAGGTACTCATCTTATTCAGTGTCTTAAAACATAAGATCATCTTACTAAAGGCGGTTTCACACTGGCGTCCACGAACGATTTCTTCGTCCGTGGACGGATGCTAAAATAAATCGCTGCCCATGTTATTATGTTAACATGGTGGCCCATGTTATGTTCACACCACGCATTGAAACCTAACCACCATCCGCGGATGCAGAAATTCGTCCGTGGACGAATGGTGGAATCGCTCCGGGAGCGATTTTTCTAAAACGTCCGCGGACGCCCAAGCCTCGCGCATGCGCACTGAGCACCAAAGCACTTGTAGCGCAGCGCGAGCGCGGCATCTGTCACTCCCCTCAGTCTGGGTTACAACTCTAGAAATTTATAGGGATCACAAGAGACAGATAAAGCGTGGTTCGAAATTGCGACTACACTCCAAAGATAGTAAGTAGGCCCTATCCTAACCAATAAACATGTATACAAGTGTCTTGTAGGGACATAAATTACTAAAAACCTCAAATATAAAACAAATTAGGTAATGTACCGGTAGTATAAACAGACTCAGAATAAAATTATCTATATGTTAGGACAGATATCCCAGTACAACATATCTTTTGTGTAAAAAACAGTTTTTTTTTGTCTTTGTCTGCTTTTGTTTATGTTATTTTCAATAAATAATTTGAATGACTCCAGCGGTTTAACTCTGCTATGTGGCTAAAGGCAGCAAACATGTTTGTGAATAAATATTGGTTTACTATTGTAGCTTTGGTCTTTTGGTTAGTCTTTTGGTCTCTGATAATATTGGAAAATATCTTCGTCAAATATGAAAAGGCAAATCATGATTAAGTTAGGCATCAACATGAGTACGTTTATCGTACTGTATACAGTAGCCTATTATAAAAATGATTATTTATGCACCATTTATATAGCCTATATTATTTTCATAATTATTTCTTGTTGAATATCCAACATATGCATGACCAAAATGGATTTTAGCCTATACAAGGTGTCTGTAAAGTCCTTCGCCAAACTTCATAACATGGTTTATTGGGTCAAAATAAGCAAAAAACTATCCTGTGGACAAAGGTCGTATCTCGCTTCATTTACCGGCTGTCGGTACTTTTGTGTACATAAGTTCTAATAACTTTAAAACCAGTTGAAGTACCAACTTCAAACTCAGTAGTAAGTAAGGACTAACAGGTAGTTTTTTGTGGAGTGTCAAGTTTCCGTCTCTTACTATTTAAAGTGCGATTTTTGCACTTTTATACCACATTTTTATTTAGTTTTTTTTTACTAACACATTTTTACTTACAAGACTTTGAGTTAAGGAATAAACAATTTTGGGACAGTAAACAATGTGTATAAAAATTTCAACTAACATAAATGTATTTGTTGACAAACATGAGTGGACGTTTGAAACGGAGCTCGCAATGTGAAGGAGCATCCCAGCTAGCATAACTTAGCATCCCATTCATTTCATCATCATTTTATCCTTCCGCGGACGATAGCGGACGCCAGTGTGAAACCGCCTTAATTATTGCTCTACTTCTACCAGATTGTGATTTAATTTTGTGGGTATGAAAGAAAAACATTTAGTTTGAAAGAGACATAAACAATCCCAATGAGTATATCTAGTTTCAAAGCAGTTTGTCTGTTGCTCAAGTAAGAACCATGGGTCAGTAGGAACTATGGACTTATTTTGGCTGGGAAATTATGTCGTCACGGTTGAGCTCAAGCAACCATAAGTTCCTCGCTTTTCTGTCTTGCACGCAGTGGGATGATATAAGGCAAGTTTAAGCGGACCTCAGTTAGATGTAGGATAGGCTAACCTAACCTCATTTGCATTTGATATATTCTTAACCTGTACCCAACAGGCTATATTAAAACTTTGCATAAAAGTACCTAATGGAGGTAGGATTTAATTTTATTTCTTTATTATTGAATACGTAAAAACATTGAACCATTTCTTGATTGATTTCAAGATTGAATTTTTGACTGCACTAATTGCCGCATTAGTGCAATGAGTTTCGTAATTGGAGTCGAACGCTTAAGCAAAAACTGTCTCTAAAATTCAAATTGTAGGGTTGGGAATTATAAATTTCTATACCTACATGGATTTGCCATAGAGAACAAGGGCCTACGTTTTTTAGATGTTTTTGTGATGATAGCAAGCTTACCTGAATTGGAATCTAGTCCAATCTGGCACATTATATACAAAAAAATGTCACTGACAGCATTTTTGATTTTTTGAAAGAGCCGACTCTCTCTTTAACTCTTGCCTTTATTAACAATGCTATCAGACAGTGAAATATTATATTATTAGTCCACATAGTGTTATTTTTTTTGCCAAATTGGACTTTCTCCCATTCAAGAAAGCCTGCTATCTTCACAAAATATTGACAAGCTCGATAACAGAGCAAGTTATGAATTATGATCACAAATAGTTGAGCTATAGATAACCCTCACTTCATCATAGACTATCAAGACTAAGATTCTTACTATGCAGAAGCAATGATAATTGAGTATGACCTTAAAAACTGTCCAATTTGACTTAAAAATGTTCATTATACTTTGAAATAAGCTTTTAAGTCATAGGCCTATATATTATTTGGAATATTGTGTTTAAAGTATTCTAAGACCAAAGATATAACCTGTTTTATTCACAGGGTGTTGTCCGAGCCCACGCAGCACTAGGTGATGGTCTTGCACTGTTTGGAACTGGTTGTCTCCATACGTGGCCTTCTGTTGTAGAAGATGTGATCACCTGTTTCCTAGACCCAACTCCTGTTGATACTCAACAGTTGATGGACGATAGTTGCTACAGGTAAGTTAACTCTTTAAACTCCTCGTATTTTATGAGATTACTTACTAACAGACAGTATACTAGTGAATTGAGTTGCTATAAAGATTAGCTTAGGCCTTGTCTAGCCCATAAATCAATTTTTTTGTAAATTATTCCCGATTGTACTAGTAGCTTTTCGCTTTGCCTTATTAGGTACTTGAGTAGTTACAGGGTAGTATTTATGCCATGTATCCCAAGAAGAAACGTAAAGAAATTAATTAAACCATTATGATAGTTATACATTGACTTTCAACAAACATTTGTTTCATATGTGTAAGCCAGGATTTAGTTTTAAAATAAAAATAACTAGTGTACCTGTTGCTCGAATTCGAGCAATTGCGAATCATTACAGGTGTTATTTTAAAATAATTTCCGATGACTTTATAAGAGTCAACTCAAAGATTATGGAAATACTCAAGATGTACACAACAGTTAGATATAATTAAAATTGTTTGTAAATATCTTATTTTTTTTCAAAAGCTGACCTTGTTTTTTAGTGTTTTCTACAAATGCTTCCCACTCATATTCGCATTAGGTTGTCTATTAACGATTATAAATGGAAAAAAAAACATTATTTCTATTTCTTCTACTGTACTTGGTTGTGTCCTATGACTTTCCTGTTTCCATTGTTTGCAAATCGGCTCTTTCAATTATTGCTCAAGAAATGTAGCACAGTGTTAATTCAGTTTTATTTTTAGTATATCAAATTGTCCATAATTTCTCGCTTTTTTCCATTGTAATTTTTAAAATGACACCAACCAAGTATCGTCAACTACAGATGCAATACGCCAAAGAATATCGTCTACGTGCAATCTCCCAGAAGTGGTAAAAATGACAGAAACCAACCCATACATTAGATATAAGTTAACTCCATAAGAAATAATTTTAAGAGTTACTGTGATATTAGGATTTTCCACTGATTTAGTAAAAGAACATTATATTGCAAAACATAGCACGATTCAGAAGAAAACCGATTTTAAAATCAGCAAAAACCATTGCAAATACTTCATTTTGACAAATTTAGTAAATCACAATTTAAATATTAACAGCTGTTTCATTAAAAAGTAGTGTAAATGTATGCATATGGTCATGATGTAAACAAATCTGAAGAGGGGACTTTAAAGGCCTTTGGGGCAGAGCCCCAAGGGAATTTACCTTGTTTCTCTTTTGATGGCTCATCTGACTAATACCTTTCTTTAGAGACCCCTACCAAGTTTCTACAACCAGCCGTTCTCTGAAATTAGCTGTGACAAAAACCCGTTTTTCCTCCATAAGAATAACATGGGATGGGAATTTAAAGGCCACTGGGGCAGAGCCCCAAGGGAATTTACCACTTTTCTCTTTGGATGGGTCATCTACAGACCAAGACCTTTCTTTAGAGACCCCTACCGAGTTTCTACACCTCTTCTCTCAAATTAGCTGTCACAAAGAAAAACAGTTTCAAATTAATATATCTAGATAATAAATTATTTTATCAAAACCTCTGTTGGGTTAAAAACTGAGAGCTAAGTAGGCATGATATGTGTAGCAATTTATGACGTATTGTGCAACTCCAGCTGTGATGTATGTATGTCCAGGCTCCGTACCTACCCTGGGTGCTGCTGGGATTCTCAGTTCTGCTGTACAACACTATCTGGGTGGACCTTATGGGGATGATTGTTGGACATTGCTACTACTACTTAGAGGATGTCTTTTCCTACCGAAACGGAGGTCTTAGAATTATCAAACTTCTAAAATCTTGTGAGTAGCACTTATTTTCACAGTCACTGATTAATGCATGTTTTAATTCATGTATAATACAATTAATTGGACCAAGACTATATTTTGGCTGAGGGTAACTTAAATTTACTCGGTCATACAGTTAACAGAGGATACATGAAGGACAGTGTTGTAGGGTACAGGGACAACAGGTGAGACAGTTTAGCGTACAGGGCCTACTAGGATAGGGTAGGGCAGAGTAATGTAAAGGAGCTACTAATGGGGCAACCTAGGGTGAGCTAAGGCCCAGCGAAGAGATACTGTTACGCCAGTATAAGGTACAGGAGCGGCAGGTGGGGCAGTATAGCCTACAAAAGTTACAGGTGGTACAATATAGGCAACAGGGGATTGTAGGACAGCATAGGGTTACAGACATGGTACAAGCCTACTGGGTTGTTCAGGCTACTGCTACTAGTGTAAGGCACAGCAATTTACAGATAAGAGTTTTACAGGGGCTTAATAAGACAACTTAGGGTACAGGGGTTACTGCTCAGGTAGTATAGGGTACAAAAGCTGCAGGTAAAGAGGATACAGGAATACAGGGTACACAGGGGATACAGGGTAGGGCACAGGGCTACTGGTAGGGCTGTGTAGGGTACAGGGGTTAAGCAGTTTAGGTTCAGATACTCTGGGGTGGAGCAGTGTATGGTACATGAGCTACTGGTGGGCAGCATCTAGGGGGAGCTATGGGGTAGGGCAGTGTAGAGACAGAGCTGGCGTACAGAAGGAGGTTGTATAGGGTTGAAGTATAGGGCACAGTACCTGCACATGGTACAGTGTAGGGCAGGGGTCTCCAAGCTACGACCCACGGGCCTGTCCACCTCACGAACATATATCATCCGGCCCACCAAGGCCTACTAGGAAAATTATTTTTATATAATTGGTATAAATTAATGATTGTCAAAGTTGCAAAAACACACACAAGTAAATGTTTCAGTCGCGGTGATATCGTAATTGTCATTAACAACCACGGAAACACTCACGAGCATATTTTGTGGTCTCAGCAATACCGCGATCGTCTCCTGCGTTTGCGACTGCACTGTGAACATCTCTTGCGCTATTATTAAAATTTCTGTGATGATCTCCAGTGATCGTGACTTACTTATGATGGTAAATGAGAACCAATGGGATGCCGTCAATGAATTGAGATCTATTGGCTAATTGTGATCATTGTAGTCCTTGGCCCATACCGAATTCAAGTACAACTCTCGGTGCCCAGGTTGGCTGGATACCCAGATGTCCTGTTTAAGTATGTGTACAGTACACCTCTCACAGGAAAATGGAAATAACCCTGAGCGCATGGCTACCACTATCACAAGCTACATTTCTTCCTCTTAAAAATGACATATTACAATTAATTATGACTAGTAATAATAACTTACACTGTATGTAATTCGTATTTTCCGTACTAGCGTATTACGCTGGTTGGCCATTTTTTCTAAATTTCTAAAACAGCTGTTTTCATAAAATCGTACCTGTTGTGCAATCAATATTTTGTTCTAAATATCAATACCACAATGAAGATAAAATCAATGGCTATCCAGTGGTACTACCCGCAACATCCCAAGACGAAAATTACTTGAGCAGGGTAATGCAAAACAAGTCGTGTTTTGACAGTTCCCAAGTGTCAGCTGCAAAAGGCGTGCCACGCCAAAAATTAATTTGATTTCTAATCATGGTGTAATTGTTATAGACTGCTATAGGGTTTGTTTATATAATAAAATGAAAGTTCAGAATGTGATCTTTGGAATGGTATATACATCATACATCATGGTATATATTGTTAACATCAGAGTTGATTATAAGCGGTTTTTTCACCGATAAACAAATTTTGGCCCATACTAGCGTTACGCTGGTGGCCATTCTAGGCGTCACGGCCAATTGTCTCAAACCGTGCTAACGCAAAGCCAAGTATAACTGCAATAAGCATTTTATACTCATACGCCGACCCCGTACGGAGGACGGGTACTCTGCTTGTAACTATTATATAACATTTAATTTTAGATGATTTTGTAGCAGCTGATTATTAGTGTTATTATATGTTTAATTGTTTACAATCTGGAGTTCCAAAAATGTAATCTGTCTAAAATTAAATACATTAGAAGACAGAAGCTTCAATAGTTTCTTATCTTTCAGATCTTTCTCGTTGGAAGGTCCAGTAGCTAATCACTCAGCTACCTAGACAATGACAATGGAAACCAGTTGATGTAATAATTTTTAAAACATTTACTTTTGTTTTGCATAGTATAGCAATTAAGATGTTGATGTTTATAACTTTGCAGGTGTTGCATGGACTTCCTTCAAAAGTTCAAAGATCTCCAACCACACTCGGAGTTATGACAGAGTTCGTCTCATCGCAGATATGAATATTGTACAGAGTTTGTTGCAGCTGGTACAGCTTTCCTCGTTTAAGGATTTTGTCCCCTACTTTACAGCCTTTATTGGCTCTGTAATCTGTGCTGCCATGCAAGAGGTAAGCTATCATGCATTTGTTATAGCTTTAAAAGAATCAAACATTCCTTATAGAGACTAGGTTTTAAGTTTATGATGGGATTTTGACAGTGGCTTTAAAATCCTTCAAAGGATTAAGTTTTTCCTTGGTAAAACAAATAGAAATGGTTTCTGAAATATTATTTACAATTAAAAAATAATTATTAAAAAGAATCTAATTATAAAACAAGTTGTCTAAAACGTATATAAATACCTGATGATCTTGCATGAAAAAAGTTGGATTAAAATTATAATCCAGGATCCTGATAACTGAGGTAAGTATATCCCATACAAAATTGTTTGCAATTCTATTAACATTGAAAACGATTTCTGCAAATGGGATAAGAACCCAAGATTCTCTTCCCAAAAAGCTCTCTACTAGATTCAAACCCTACTTTAAATTCAAATTAATTCTGTCAAAAAAAAACACGAATCGTCCAATTGTATTTTCCGGCTGGGGAAAATGCTTACTAATAAAAGTATTTATAAATCTAAGGCCATGCTAATCCCCAATACTCCATTAATAGTGGATGATGACAAAATCCAAAATTTAGTCAATCATCTTAATTTTTTTCATGTTCTTTTATATTTCATTCACAGGCAAGTGAAAATCGAATAGACCTACTTCAGAAAACAATGGCCCAACTTTTGAGCTTCTTGGTGGAGGCAAGCCAAAATACTCCAGGTATTCCAAACTCTACATTACGGTATCTTACTTTTATTTCAATGGGGTTTTTCATTCCCATCCTGATTGTGGGATGAGAACGGGATGAAATTTGTTTTCCAGTGAATCAAGGAAATCTTAAGATGGTTTTTAGCCCTATATTGATAATGAGGTTTATTGATGAATAACATTAACTCATGTTTTTATGTTGTAATCTATAATATTTGTAATAACAAATTGTATTTGTAAATAAGGTTATTTGTTTATATCGATGCTCACTCTGCTCAATTGGCAGACATGAGGCCGCATACAATACAATACAATACAAATCATCTTTATTCATCAAGTATTTTATAGCAAATACATGAATTGCGTCACAGAAAGGAAAAGATAAGCAAAAAATTAAGTATACAAGTATCCTAAATAATAGATTACAAACATAAATCATAACATAACATATTTCTAATCATTTAAATTCCAAAATTCTTCTATTGAATATAATGATTTAGATTGCAAATAGTTTTTCAGTAGTTTTTTAAAGCTACTGTAATTATGTTCATTGAAAATATTTTTGGGTAGGCTAAATAAAATTTTTTTGCCAATGAAACTGGTTTTTTTCTCAAATAACTTCAATCTGTGTTGTTCTACATGCCTGGTGTTTCGTAAATTGTAACTGTGAAAATTTTTAGTTTCATAATCTGAACTTTTTACATGTAGAATAGTTTCAAAAATGTATAAATCATAGATGGTCATTATACCCAATTTAGAAAAATATTTTTTAACTGATTCTCTGTTTTTTATACTAAAGATAATTCTAAGAGCTTTTTCCTGTTGACGTAGAATTTTGTCTAGGTTTTTTTTTGTGGTACCACCATATAAAGCTATTCCATAAGCTATATGTGAATTTATCAAAGCAAAATAAATAGTTTTAAGAGATTCAATGCTTGAGACACGGGACATTTGTCGCAAAGCATGTAGATTTGCTGTAGATTTGTTTACCACATGTTTCACATGCTCATCCCAGGTTAAATGCTGGTCTAATATTAGACCAAGAAATTTAGTGTGCTCCACTTGATTTAATTTTGAACCATTAAGATATATATCTGGTTGTAATTTTAATCTTGATTGCCTTGTGGAGAAAGATAAAATATTAGATTTATTTGAATTTATTAGTAGATTTTTGTTATTTGTGAATTCATTTCCTAGTAATATACTAGCTGTGTGCCCGTTCTACGTACGGGGATCTTGTAGTCAGTTGATACCTTCTTATATCCAGAACAGCAGTGTTTTGCATGTTAAGTGTGAATTTTTCCAGATGTGCAGGCAAAACTATTTTTGGAATACACATCCTCAATACTAATGTTAAAAGGTCACAAAACAGGTGTTGTGTGCAATACCTATTAAACTCATAGCTCAATAATGCCATCAACTTCTACCCAAGCCGGACACCGTTTATTTAAGGTGGGCGCCTCCTGCCAGCTAAGCCACACATTATTGAGCTTAGTATGGATAGCCAAGTGTGGGATTTGAACCCACACATGTAGAAAGACCTCAACGCTACAATCGACAGTGTAACCCCGACTGTGCTACCATGCCACCATTGGCCGATTTCAAGAAGTGCCACTCTAAGCACAATAGCGCTTGCAGGTGAGATTCAAAAAACTAACACCTTGAGCTATACTCAAGCTTAGGTTTTAAAAGGTTGATTTACTGTTTCTTTGAGAGTCTTGCTATTTAGTGGTTGCCATGGTACATTATTTTTAAACTAACGCTTATAAGTTATATGTTTAAAATTAATTAAAGTGTGTTTGTAATAACTCTCGTTTAAATTAAGGCGTGTTGCCACCAAGAAGAAATTAAGAAACCCATTATGATATGTGTACATGGAATTTCTACAAACATTTGTGTCATATTTGGATTTAGTTTAAAATAACATAATAAGATATTTTTATCAAAAACTCTAGAGAATTAAACTGAGAGCTAAGTAGTCCTGATATGACGACCAATTCAGCATGTATTGTGCAAATCCAGCTGTGATGTATGTATGTCCAGGCTCCGTACCTACCCTGGGTGCTGCTGAGATTCTCAGTTCTGCTGGACAATCTGTGGACCTCATGGGGATGATTGTCGGGTGATGCTATTCCTTCTTAGGGATGTCTTGCCCCACCAGAACGGAGGATTTAGAATTCTCAAGACCCCTCAGATCTTGTGAGTAGCACTTCACATTTACTACCTACTTGATGTAGGTTGATTAAAATTAAACGTGTGACATTAGACTGAGACGATTTTTGGGCTGAATGTACTTTAAATTTACTCACTTATACAGTTTTCCAGTTAAAGGGGCTACAGGTAGGACAGTGTAGGGTAAAGCGGTTACAGGTTAGGGTAGTATCGAGTGGGCGAGCAGGGCTGGGCAGACACAGAATGCGCTAGTGACTAAATTTATAATTCTAAAAATTCTATTTCCTACCTTATTTTTGTTGCTGGCCAAGTTGATGGGTCATAACAGTTGATATAGCTCACAATAAGTCCTTCCATTAGTTTGAATTAGAAAAAAAGATTGTGTATTTGACAGAAATCAGCAGTTGAGATCAGCACAATCTGTCGGTGGCTCACATCAACTACAACAATTTTGGTAAAAGAACTGGCTACAAATTTTAACATGGGGATGGAATGTCTAGTTGTATTAATAGTCAAAGGTACAGCATAGTAGGTTAGTTACATGAGTAATGGGTTAGATTTTACTGTTTTTGGAAATTTGGAAATTTTATAATTTATTTTATGTAATTTGGTTTTTTGCCAGTCTTTATGGGGATGTATCAGTAATTTTCCATAGACCAGTATTTTTTAACCTCTGCAACCTAAACGTTAGCAGGCAGCGAATCCCGCCAAAATTCAGCAGTCAGCTGTGACATAGCCTCACTTTCAAGCCAAGTCTGGTCAAACATACTACCTTACGGAATTTGCATACGGGAGGGACTCTGGCTAATGGTGTGGTGACGTCATGTGGCTAATGTCTTCTCTTGAGGCAACACGATTACCCTAAAGAGACGATGTGATTCCAGCGGCGTTTGTGGCATAGTTGATAGCGTTTCGGTCTGGTGTTCAGGAGGTCTCCAGTTCGAAACCAGCCGGGGACATTTACTTTTTGTCAAAGATTTTGCTTTGAATGTGACTACTTCTTAAACTGTACATCTTTTGTTAGAATTTGATGCATTTATAATTTTATTTATGAACAGAAAGTTTTTTTTAAGTAAACCTTTTTTTGATTTTTATCTTAATCTTTTTTATATTATCAGCAAGTTTGGTTGGTTAGGTTAGGTTATGACAGTTTATAATTTTATAATACTAAATTTTAAAATTAATTTTATAATTAAAGATTAGCCTATAAGTAAACATTCATTTGATTTTTTTGTTATATATTTTGTTATATTATCAGCAAGATTGGTTGGTTAGGTTAGGTTATGACAGTTTAATTTTATGATTAAAAAGTTGATTTTATAACTAAAAATTATAAATTTAATTAAAATTTTTTCAACTTAGCGGTTCTAGTGGCGAACGCTGACACTAATAGAAATGTTAGCCATAGTCCCTCCCGTGTGCCCCACTGACTGACCTTACTGCAATTTAAACTAACTTTTCTGTATTTACCCTAAAATAACCTCATCCACGATTAGGTTTAGTCAGAACAACTGTTTATGTTAAAATCATATTTTATTGACACCAGTTTTATACAATTGATAATTTAGTGTGACCACACGGCTGTAGAGGTATTTGGAGTGGACAAATCATGAAGTTCTCGGTTGGGTTGAATCCTGGATGTTGTTAAGTAGTCCAACCGCTCCGATGTTTGTCAAAGTTTCTAGGGGTGGGCGAGTAGTGATTTTTCAATTCGAGTCGAGTCGAGTCGAGTATTTGAGTAAAAAATCGAGTATCGAGTCGAGTCGAGTAGTTGCGCGTAATATGGGCTTAGGCCTGATGAGGTTAGTTTTTAATGGCTTCATTCATTTAAGTATACACAAAAACATTGTTATTAAATGTTTGCCTACTTGTAGGCTGCTGCATTAAATATACATATCATGAGTTATAGTGTTTTATTTATGCTTACCTTTTCTTCCTCCTTACAAACACGAAACATGATAATTAACCTTTAAGAAACTGTAAGAACAATTATATATATAAATGAAAGAGAACTTCATAAAAAAAACTTATCCTAAATTTAAAATAATTATATGCAAAGGGTATTAAAATAACTTGGATTACTCATTTTAGTTAGATAATTGTACTTTAATGAATGAAAACTGGAGGAACAGTTATTTAAAAGAAAAACATGTTGATAAGTCACTAAACAATACAACCCTATTCTTTAAAACATAACATAAAAGGTTAAATCCAAAACTTAAAGAAATAATACTTCTGGAGCCAGAACATTGTAATAAACACACAACACACAGCCTACATATAAACTAGATTGTCACATGATGACCATAAGATCACAAAAAATCACAATCTGAAACTTATGACACAAAACAACAATTAATTGTTAGACTCTATAATGAATATCAGCATTAATAAATAATGGAAACTACACCACAAAAATACAAATGAAAAATTGTCCTGTTGAACAGTACGGCAAGTTAAAAAGAAAAATGTTAATGAGAAATTACTCAATAATACAACCATATTCTTTAACATAACATAAAAGGTAAAATGTGATAGCCTAACTTAAAAGACAACAAAAACCAAAACATTGTAATAAAATAAACACACATACACCCACAGCCCACAGCCTACATAAAAACTAGATTTGACACAAAAACATAAAATTACAAAAATATCACACTCTTATACTTAAAGAAAAACATTTCAAAAATATCACACAAAATAAGAATTGGTAGACTGAGACTCTATCATGAATATCAGCACAAATCAAATAAAATATTATACAAATAGAAATAAGAGTGACGCCAAAAATAATGTTTTGGGGGTTTTCATGTCATTACTGCTGCTTGGTGTGTAGGCAATAACCAATAATCAACATGGGGTGTCAAAATTAAAATCATAAGCAAAATAATAAACTAAAAAAAGATAACCAAAAACAATAACATACCGACCAAGTTCTTAAATAAGGATAAAGGATGATAAGTTGATAATTAATTAGGACATACAAAGAAATAAAATAATCCAACAGTAGGTTACATCTGAATATAGAGTACAATTACAATGAAAATAACAAGGATAAAGTATAAAAAATATAATATACAAAAACACAGTCAAAATCTGAAACAGCTCAATCGACTAGATAATTGGGAAAAAAGGATCTATATACTAAAGTCTATTTCATCATCATAGTCTCATGATGGTTTGTATCAGTTCAGTCTTTTCCGTCAGTCTCACGTTAAGTTATTATTAGCCTACCAAGAATAAGATGTAGGCCTAACTCAATGATACATTACCAAAAATATTTAATAATGGTTTGTATCAGTTCAGTCTTTTCCGTCAGTCTCACGTTAAGTTATTATTAGCCTACCAAGAATAAGATGTAGGCCTAACTCAATGATACATTACCAAAAATATTTAATAAAATATCAAATGCAAATAAAGTTTTTTTAGAATAATAATAACAACAAAAGGACGTAAAAATTACAAATAAAATAGCCAATAGGCTAAATCTGACAAGGTACAACAACAAAGGAAAATCAATAATGATTTGATTATGCTAATGAAATAATGCTAAAAATTGCTAAATGGTAAATATAAAAAAGAACAGATATGTATAATTAGAAACATCTCAAATAAAATAAAATTATTGCACAAAAAGTAGGCCAAATAAATAGGCTGGTTTCATCAAGTATCAATCTCAATTTGGTGTTCTATAAGTCTCAAGTTGGACCAAGGTAAGAAATTAAAAGACTCCTACATAGGCCTAAAATATGAGATTGAGATTAAAAATTATTTTAGATTTTGATGTAAGAACACAAGTTCCTTTACATGTTCAACTGTCAGGGACTCCCTTCTTACATTGACAACGTTCCCTGCAGAGGAGAACACCCTCTCACTCTCCACCTCCGTAGCTGGGATTCCTAGGTACTTTCTAGCCAAGGGTGCAATATAGTGGTATTTATGCTGGTTGTTCTTCCACCACTCAAGAGTGTCTTCTTGTGGGGAGATCCTTGGTCCGTTGAAAAAAACATCAAGTTCAGACAAACACAGCGAATGATCCATTGCAGTCTCAGTCTCTTCGACTACTGTTGAACTTGATTGACTTGATGCTAGGATTTCAAAGTTCTTCCAAAAATCAGTGACATTACTGCTCCCAGGTTTGTCTGAAACCATGGTAAACATTGATTGATTAATAATTATTCATTGAAACCAAAAATAAAAATTATTTTGTTTATACAGAAACATGATTGATTATTGTGCAGTTTTCTTCCATGGATTCAACGATGAAGCAAGTGGACAAATGGTTTAGCGTCCAGTCCATTGACTACGGTATTCTTTGCCCTAAAAGTCCAAGACTATAGGCTACTAAAGTTTAATTTTTATACTAGCTATCAAATTTTAATTTAGAGATACAAGGAAGAACACAACACGAACACACATACACAAGGTGTGTAAATAAATTACCAAATGTTTGTCAACAAAATTACTCATTGTTAACGGGCTAGACCGATTTAGTATTTTATTTTTACAACCTTTACTTAATTTACTTCGTAAAAATTTCTAAAAAAAAAAAAAAACTTCAATGTAGATAACAGATCAAAAGTTTTAGAATTTAGGTAGGTTAGCCTATTGATTAAGCTTAAGCATTTTTATTATCTGTTTAAGTAAAGCTATTTTTTATAGGCCTAGGCCTACTCAAATTAATCATCCTAGTAATATTTACCTATTTCCGGTGTTTGACTCTGTTGAACCTCTGTCGTCTTTGTCTGCTTTTCATAGGAAGATATGGCTTCACTCACAAACCTATCTTTCAAAAGTGATTTCTCATGTGGTTTGAGCAAAACACATTTAAAATGGGGATCAACTGCCATACACGCTTTGTAGAGGTTATCTGATTTTACATGGGAAAACCTAGTCTTCATGGATAACAGTAAATTCCTACAAAAGGTTGCACCAGGTTTCTTTTCCCGCAATCTTTTCTCCAAGATGTCTTCTATCGTTGATACCAATGGATAAACCATAGACATAGTCGGCAACTTGCTGGCTGACGCTTTAGTAGTTGCCTCGTCTAGAGGGCATAGTATGTCTATGTACTCCTCAGCCATCTTCCACTCGGTCATGGACAGGTTGTTAATGTTACTCCTTGACGATATCAATTCACCAGAAATGGCCTCTTTTTGTTGTACCAGACGACTGAGCATCTGGTACTCCGAGTTCCAACGAGTTTCGCAATCTTGAACTAACTCGACTTCTTTCTTGCCTAGATTTTTTTGATAGGAATGAAGTCTTTGTTGGGCCGATGAACTTCTCTTGTAATGGCCTACTATAGACCTGGCTGCAGACAGCATACTCATCATTCCAGTAGTATTTTTCTTTGCGTCTTTTAGTGCCAGTTGTAGTGTGTGCGCAAAACATGTTATATGTGTCCATGGCAGGAGTCTCATGGCTGCCACCATATTTGCAGCATTGTCTGTTACTGAAAATATGGGAACTGTGTCATCCTGGATCCCCCACTCGGCTGCAATCTGTTTGATTTTCTCTGCGAGCTTAGGACCATCGTGCTCACCGGGCAGATATTCATTACCTAGACAAAAACGTTTCATCTTGAATTCGTTTGACACGTAATGGAGGGTTACGGCAATAAAGGGATCGTTACTTCTTGATGTCCATAAATCTGCTGTAAAACTTAGTGACATGACATTGGTGAGATCATTTTCGATTTCTTTAGAAATATTTAGCCTGGTCGTTTCATAAAGTTCGGGTATTACCCTTCTTGAAAAAGTATTTCTGGAAGGCAGTTTATATTTCGGAGAGGCTTCCTTAAGCACATCAACAAGCCCTTCCTCCTCTACCAGGGAATATGGGTGGAGATTCTTGGCCATCCATATACCTATCTTGTTTGTTAATGATTTTGCCTTAGGATGGTCAGATGGCCAAGTCGTTTGCATGTCCAGGCATTGCCCTAAGGTTTGCTGTTTTTTGTCATCCTTTTTCGTCTTTTTTTGCTTCGACAATTCGTCCTTTTTTGATTGTTCTTTTTTAAAATTATCTGCCTGGTTTTTGTGTTTTGCAATCAAGTGCCTCTGTAGGCTTGTTGTACTGCCCGTCTTTATGCCTATTCTGGCTTGGCATATGTTGCAAATAGCCTTACTGGAATCCTTGTCATCCTTATGGAAATATTTCCAAATTGGCGTCTTATTTTTAATATTAAACAAAAGCCCAGAAGTCCCACTGGTACTACCTCCATCTTGCGTTTCCGCAGAGCCTACTGTAGGCCTACTGCCCTGAGCTTCAAGGTTAGGCAAACCAGGATCATCCTCGTCTTCACTCATTGCACAGCCCTAAGTCACTCGTCACTTAAATTGAAGTATTACTTAAAAACTTAAAGTGAACCAAAACGAAGTAGACGTTATCTAAAAAATAAAATCCAACGTCAATATCTTAATTGAACTAACGTTTTATTCTACCCTAGTTTCTATGACATTTACTTATTTCACCACTCTCTGTGGTAATATTTAAATGAATTCAACTTTATACTGCAGTTATTCACCAGTTTCAACACCACAAACAGAGTCAGATCTACAACACTCTACAAACAAACAGTTCACTTTCTACTAAACAAAATTAATTTTATAAATTACAAGTTTCAAATTCCATCTCTCCATTGTTCCATGTTTTCATTCTTGCGTCATCTTCCTATTTGCTCCGCTTGGCGCTTAGTCAGTCTGCTCAGTGTATCCACACGACCAAAAAAATAATCCTGCTTACTGGGTCGAGAAATCCCGTTTTATCCCGCTTTTAAATTCGTGAAAAATCCCGTTTTATCCCGCATGATTTTTTTGGTACAATACCTAGTATTAAACTTTACGTATCATTTTTATAAGTTGTTTAAACATCACTATTATATTTTGCTACAGTATTTAAACAATTTGAGTTACTTTTTCTCTAAAATTGAGTAGAAAAAAAAATGAAAATAGTCGTCACAGCCGAAAATCCCGTTTTATCCCGCATCCCGTTTTAATCCCGCTCATGGTCTAAAAATCCCGTTTTCGGGATAATAATCCCGCGAATGGAAACACTGAGTCTGCTACGCTTTTGCTTTGTTTTTCTCAATGCACCAAACAGCTGTTTGCAGTGCTGCTGACGTTGCCATATTTATTTATCAATACACCATTAAGGTCGGCAAAATTGTCGTAAAATATCTATTAACTTTTTCATTTGTTAACAAAAAAATTACTAATGTAAATCATATTTATTTAACTCATTAGAAAATGTGTAGTTAATTTGGGAAAGTAAATACTGTATATTAAGTTGCAGTTAATTTATTGTATAAGTACAAAAATTATCGTCCATCTGGCAACACTGTGTAACTAAACGTTCTGTCTAAGACTAGACCAAATAAGATTGCGTCATTCCGATGCCCAGTTATTTAAAATCGATGTTCCTTGCAGTATCGAGTATCGGTTTCTAACTAAAACTAAACGAACACCAATACTGATTGAAGTTTGAAGTAAGCAAATTATAATGTAATACAGTTCATTTTTATTTTTGTATTAATATATTTTAAAATAAAATATTCCGAAAGCAATTCAAACTAAATCTAATACTGAACTATTTCAATCTTCAAGAATCGTCTGCCTATGATTTGCTTATCACTAGACTCCATTGTTGAATATCGATCGACTACTATTACTCGATATATTCTTTCAATAACTTATTTTATTTAACTTACCGTATCCCCATATCGTTATCGAGACGTATTGTGGGGAAAGAAGTGAGCAGTGATGAGTGAAGCAGTCCACTTCTTGCTAGCTCTGCCGAATGACGACATGGATGGACGGTTGTTTGTTGAACATATTACGCTGGACTATCCTGTATTTAATTAAATAGTTGTTTTTCTTTTGGGAATGGGGTTTAAATAAAACATAAACACAAAACAAATATCTTTTATTAAATTCAGTGGAAGAAAATAAAAAATAACACTTTTTAAAACTACTCGACTCGAATTCTCGGGTATTGATTAATACTCGACTCGAGATCGAGTATTCGGAAAAAGTCGAGTAATTACTCGAAATTCGAGTACTCGCCCACCCCTAAAAGTTTCAGTGTCTCACGGAGTTCTGACCAGAGCAGACACTATCTCTCACTCCCTCTCCATATGTGTAGTTATATAACATTTCTCTGGTAACCGGAACAGCATCTAAGGACACCAAGGAAAAAGAGGTGTCATCATCCATAGCTTGAAACAGGATATATGTGCTAAAAAGAACCAAGTTTCTCAATGCATTATGGATCAACCCAACATGGTCCCAATGCATTGTGAGATTGGTTAAAACTTTGCTTTCTATTTTGCAGACATGTTAATGCAACCATAAAATAACTTCCAAGTTCCTACTATTTCAACAGTTCTTTAGGATATAATCTTGAAAACTCCAAAATAACAGTAATATATATTAGGTTATTTAACTAGTAGGCCTGATATGTTGAGCCATTCAGCATGTATTGTACAACTCTAGCTGTGATGTTTGTCCAGGCTCTCTGGGTGCTGCTGGGATTCTCAGTTCTGCTGGACAACATCTGGATTGTACTAGTTACTACTTCTTAGAGGATGGCTTTCTCTACCAGAATGGAGGATTTACAATTCTTAAGACTCCTAAGATGTGAGTGGCCCCTTATAATTTATTTATTTATTTATATTTATTCAAATAATAATCACAATCATTATGGTTTGGGGGGTACAGGGGCTATGGGGTAGGGCGTAGAGGTTATGAGGTAGGGTAGCATAGGGTACCGAGGTTACGAGAAAGGGTAGCATAGGGTACCGAGGTTACAGGTTAGGGTAGCATAGAGTAACGAGGTTACAGGCTAGGGCAGCATAGAGTACGGAGGGTACGGGATAGGGTACAGAGGCTGTAAAGGCAGTTGGTGGTAGGGAGGGTAGCATAGGGTACCGACGTTACAGGCTAGGGTAGCATAGAGTACCGGGGGTACAGGTTAGGGTACCATAGGGTACAGAGGTTACGGGATTGGGTACAGAGGCTGTAAAGGCAGTTGGTGGTAGGGAGGGTAGCATAGGGTACAGAGGCTGAAAAGACAGTTGGTAGGGCAGTGTAGAGTAGGTACAGGATACGGGTAGGACAGTGAAGGTTTAGGGGCTTAAGGGAGAGGCAGTGTAGAGTGCAGGGTAGCAGAGGTAATTAAGGGACAGCAAAGTAATACAGCGAGGGCTACTGATAGGGCAGGTTGTGTGCAAGACTAATGGTAGGGTGCAGGGCTACTGATAAGGAAGTGTTGTTTGCATGACTGGTGATAGGCAGTGTTGTGTGCAGAGCTTAGGGTAATGGAGCTAATAAAGGGGTAGCGTAGTGTACAGGGGCGATGGGCTAGAGCGGTGTTGGGTGCAGGGCTACTGGGGAGGGCAGTGTTGGGCGCAGGACTACTGGTAGGGTAATGTAGGGTAAAGGAGCTAATAAAAGGGTAGCGTAGTGTACGAGGGCTACGAGGTAATGGAGTGTTGGGTGCAGGGCTACTGGTAGGGTAACAGAGCTAAGAAAGATGTAGTGTGGTGTAGTGTACGAAAACTAGGGTGTAGGGCTACTGGTAGGCCAGTGTTGGGTGCAGGGCTACCGGTAGGGCAGTGTTGGGGCAGGACTACTGGTAGGGTAATGAGGGGAAAGAAACTAATAAAAGGGTAGCGTAGTGTACGAGGGCTACGAGGTAATGCAGTATTGGGTGCAGGGCTACTGGGGAGGGCAGTGTTGGGTGCAGGGCTACTGGTAGGGCAGTGTTGGGTGCAGGGCTGCTGGTAGGGTCACAGAGCTAAGAAAGAGGTAGTGTGGTGTAGTGTACGAAAACTAGGATGCAGGGCTACTGGTAGGGCAGTGTTGGGCGCAGGACTGGCATGGTAGTGTTGGGTACAAGAGCTACTGGTGGTGCAGTAAGAGGCAGTTATAGTTGGTAGAAGGGTGATAGTTGAGTAAGTAATGCTGGGTAGAGCAGCCTGGGGTGTAGGAGCATTTGCAGCCACAGTAGCCCCTGTGCCGTAGGTTATGGTAACCTATAGAGTACTGGGGGTACTGGCTGGTAAGGTACAGCTGGAGCCAGTAGAGCAGGGTAGGGTACAGCTAGGGCAAGCAGAGCAGTGTAGAGTACAGCTTTGGCCAGTAGGGCTGTGTAGGGTACAGCTGGGGGCGAGCAGGGCAGCTTAAGGTACAGCTTGGTGCGAGCAGGGTACAGCCCTTGGGTAGTGTAGGGTACAGCTGGGCCCAGTAGAGCAGGGTAGAGTACAGCTAGGGCCAGTAGGATAGTGTAGAGTACTACTAGGGGCGAGCAGGGCAGCGTAAGGTACAGCTGGGGCCAAGCAGGGCAAGCTGGGGGCGAGCACGGCAAGGCGGGGTAGGGTACAGCTAGGGTCAGTAGAGCAGGGTAGGATACAGCTAGGACGAGCAGAGCAGGGTAGGGTATAGCCAGGACCAGCAGGGTAGAGCAGGGTAGGGTACATCTAGGGCCAGTAAGGCAGGGGAGGGGTACTGGGGGCTAGTATAGCAGGCTAGGGTTCAGCGAGGGTGAGCAGGGCAGGGTAGGGTACAGCTAGGGCTAGTATAGCAGGGTAGGGTATAGCCAGGACCAGCAGAGCAGGGTTAGCCTAGGGCCAGTATAGCAGGCTAAGGTACAGCTGGGGCCAGTAAGGCAGGGGAGGAGTACTGGAGGCTAGTATAACAGGCTAGGGTACAGAAAGAGTGGGCAGGGCAGGGTAGGGTATAGCCAGGGCTAGCAGGGCAGGGTAGGGTACAGAAGGCGAGCAGGGCAGGCTAGGGTACAGCCGGGGCTAGTAGGGCACTGTAAGATACAGCAAGGGCCAATAGGGTAGTGTAGAGTACAGCCGGGGGCGAGCAGGGCAGGCTAGGGTACAGCTAGGGCCAGCAGAGCAGGGGAGGATACAGCCAGGGCCAGCAGGGCAGTCTAGAGTACATACGGGGGCGAGCAGGGCAGGCTAGGGTACAGCTGGGGCCAGTAGGGCACTGTAGGATACAGCCAGGGCCAGCAGGGAGCATAGGGTACAGCTAGGGCCAGTAGAGCAGGGTAGGGTACATCTAGGGCCATTAAGGCAGGGGAGGGGTACTGGGGGCTAGTGTAGCAGGCTAGGGTTCAGCGAGGGTAAGCAGGGCAGGGTAGGGTACAGCTAGGGCTAGTATAGCAGGGTAGGGTATAGCCAGGACCAGCAGGGCAGGGTTAGCCTAGGGCCAGTATAGCAGGCTAAGGTACAGCTAGGGCCAGTAAGGCAGGGGAGGAGTACTGGAGGCTAGTGATTATTAAATTAAAAGTCATAGTTTTGTATTAACTGTCTTTATAAAACCAAAAGTAAATATTTACAAACACAACATAAACAAATGAATATTAAACATATGTTATTTGTCATCTTCCCCTTGAGCTTGGAGTCCTAATCTTATTTTTATAAATCTATTATTTCTTCTCTTTATACCCTTATCTTTAATAGAAACTAAATAAGATCTGGGTTGTTGAAGTTTCTTCTCTATTACTCCTTCATCCCATGTTTTATTGATTATTAATTTAAAAGTCATAGTTTTGTATTAACTGTCTTTATAAAACCAAAAGTAAATATTTACAAACACAACATAAACAAATGAATATTAAACATATGTTATTTGTCAGCTAGTATAACCGGCTAGGGTACAGAAAGAGTGAGCAACGCAGGGTAGGGTATAGCCAGGGCTAGCAGGGCAGGGTAGGGTACAGCTGGGGCGAGCAGGGCAGGCTAGGGTACAGCCGGGGCCAGTAGGGCAGGCTAGGGTACAGCTAGGGCCAATAGGGTAGTGTAGAGTACAGCCGGGGGCGAGCAGGGCAGGCTAGGGTACAGCTAGGGCCAGCAGGGCACTGTAGGATACAGCCAGGGCCAGTAGGGCACTGTAGGGTACAGCTAGGGCCAATAGGGTAGTGTAGAGTACAGCCGGGGGCGAGCAGGGCAGGCTAGGGTACAGCTGGGGCCAGTAGGGCACTGTAGGATACAGCAAGGGCCAATAGGGTAGTTTAGAGTACAGCCGGGGGCGAGCAGGGCAGGCTAGGGTACAGCTGGGGCCAGTAGGGCACTGTAGGATACAGCCAGGGCCAGTAGGGCACTGTAGGGTACAGCTAGGGCCAATAGGGTAGTGTAGAGTACAGCCGGGGGCGAGCAGGGCAGGCTAGGGTACAGCTAGGGCCAGCAGAGCAGAGGAGGGTACAGCCAGGGCCAGCAGGGCAGTGTAGAGTACAGCCGGGGGCGAGCAGGGCAGGCTAGGGTACAGCTGGGGCCAGTAGGGCACTGTAGGATACAGCAAGGGCCAATAGGGTAGTGTAGAGTACAGCCGGGGGCGAGCAGGGCAGGCTAGGGTACAGCTAGGGCCAGCAGAGCAGAGGAGGGTACAGCCAGGGCCAGCAGGGCAGTGTAGAGTACAGCCGGGGGCGAGCAGGGCAGGCTAGGGTACAGCTGGGGCCAGTAGGGCACTGTAGGATACAGCCAGGGCCAGCAGGAAGCATGGCTAGAACCAGTGGGGCAGAGTAGGGTATACAGCTAGAACTAGTGGGGCGGGGTAGGATGCAGCTAGGGGCAAGCAGGGCAGGGTAGGGTACAGCTAGGGCTAGTAGAGCAGGGTAGGGTAGAGCTAGGGCTAGCAAGGCAGGGTAGGGTACAGCTAGACCTAGTAGAGCAGGGTAGGATGTAGCTGGGGGCGAGCAGGGCAGGGTAGGGTACAGCTAGGGCTAGTAGGGCAGGGTAGGGTGGGGTATACACCTGGGGCCAGTAGAGCAGGGTAGGGTAAAGCTAGGGCTAGTAAGGCAGGGTTGGGTGCAGCTGCTGCCAGTAGAGTAGTGTAGGGTACAGCTGGGGCCAGTAGAGCAGGGTAGGGTACAACTAGGGCTAGTAGAGCAGGGTAGGGTACAGTAAGGTCTAACGGTAGGGAAGGGCTAGGGCGAGCAGAGCAATGTAGGGTACAGCTAGGGCTAGAAGAGCAGGGTAGGGTACAGCTGGGGCTAGTAGAGCAGGGTAGGGTAGGGTACAGCCAGGGCCAGCAGGGAGCGTAGGGCACAGCCAGGGCCAGCAGGGCAGGGTTAGTTAGGGCCAGTATAGAAGGCTAGGGTACAGCGAGGGTGAGCAGGGTAGGGTATAGCCAGGCGAGCAGGGCAGGGTAGGGTACAGCGTGGGCC